CTGGGGGTGATTTCTCACTTCCTGTCACTCTGTCTTTGTCTTTCTGGCAAAATAGCAAAAAAAAACTAAAAAAAAAAAAAACTAACAAAAAAAAATTTGACAGAGGGTTGGCAGGTAGCGTGGTGGTTAAAGGTGCTGGATTCCCACGTGGTTGACCAGATTCAAGTCCCAGACCTGGCGGCTTGCTTTCTCACTTTCTGTTTCTCTCTCTCTCTCTAGACAAGTTAAAAATAATGATTATAACAACAAATAAAATTAATCAATTAATCAATATTTTTTTTTCTTTTTTTTGGGGGGGGAGAGATTTTCACTATAGGGCGCGTGCGCTCGCCAGACAGACAGAGAGAGACATAGAGACAGAAAGCGAGAAATCACCCCCCAGAGGGGATGGTCACGCCGCAATCCCTTCTCCTCCATTCTCCTCTTGGGATCCTGGGCACGCACGCACACGCGCCCGGCGTGAGTTTCAAGCCACTGGGTCCGGGACATGAACTGCGGTCGACTACGTGGGAGTCCAGCGACATAGCCATTACGCTAACTGCTGGTTCCCTTAATCAATATTTTTTAAAGTTCAAGGAAATAGAATAAAAATACAATCTTTTCCTTTTTTTTTTTTTGTAGTTTTTGCTATAGGACACGTACACTCACTGGAGAGAAACAGAGGGAGATAGAGAAAGAGGGAAAGTGAGAAATCACTCCCCAGGGAGATGGCCACACTGCAATCCCTTCTCCATTCTCTTCTCAGGATTATGGGCAGGCACATTCATATGCCTCACATGTTTTTCAAGCCACCCAGTCTAAGACTCAAACTGCTCAGCCAGCCATGTGGGATCCAGTACCCTAACCTGCATGTCACCTGCTGGTCCAGTAATCTTACCTTGACACAAAATTTTTTTGGAATCCACATGTAGTTTTTTCATTATATGAATTTTCTATGAGCTTTCTGAAGGTTCCTTGTATACATATCCCTGTCTGTCCATTCTCCCCACCCCAAATTCTCATCACAAATAGTAATTATTTAATGTCTTTCTTCTCTGCTAGGCTATAGATGCTATGAAGACAGGGACTGAGTCTGCCCTGGTCTCTGGAATTGTACACACACAGAACCCAGCACATGTTAAATACATGAATTAACAAATGAATGGATAGAGGGATCCCAAATTGGGCCTTAAGTAACTTCAACACTTTGAGAAAAGAGGGGCCAACAGGTAGCATGGTGGTTAAGGTGCTGGATTCCCACCTGGCAGACCATGGCTCAAGTCCCCAAACTGGTGGCTTGAAAATCACATTGGGCACATGTACATGCATGTCCAAAATCTGAAAGGAGAAGGGAAGAGGAGGGATTGCGGCATGGCCACCCCCTTTTGAGAGTGATTTCTCATTTTCCCTCTGTATCTCTCTGTCTCTCTCCTTTCCAATGAGTGCATGTACCCTATGACAAAAACTTTTAAAAATTAAAATAAGGAAATTGAGAAGAGAACCCAATAAGGTGTGTTAGGAGGAAAGCCGGAAGAATGTGGGGCCACCACAGCAGCCCAGGAGGCTCTTGTTGTTAAACGTTGGTCCTACGCCCAGAGAATGCGCAGAACCAGGAATGAACCTAAGGTGAACTCGACTTCAGGTGACAATGTGTCAGTGCAGGTCTGGTATCCCAACAAATATACCACTTGTGGGGTGGGAGGTTAGCCATTTTGTGATTCCATTTTGGGCCTATACCTAACTATATTTTTAGGGTTCATGTCTTACCTCACTGGCAGCTTGAAAACACACTAGGTACATCTGCATGTGTGCCTCAAATCTCAACAGGATGGAGAAATGGAGTAGAAGGGATTGCAGTGTGCCCATGCCCCATTGGGAGGTTTTTCCTCTCTTTCTCTCTCTCTTGGACTCTCTCTCCTTTCTCTCTCTTGAGCACACATGCATGCTCTGTAGCAGCTTAAAAAAAAGAAAAGAAAAGAAAAAACAGGTGTGTATGGTGTACGGTCAATAGAGGTGAGTGCCGCGGAAACTGAGAAGGATGGGAATGTGACCCGCAGTTAGTGATGTGGTTACACTGGCCACTTCGGATAGAACAGTTGCTGCTGAGTGATGGAAATGGAGCCTACACTGGAGAAGGTTTAAGAAGTGACTCAGTGAGTACGGAAAACTCTTTCAAGAAACTTGCCTAGGGCTGGTGAGAGAACATCCCCTATGTGGGATGAGGTTACTGTCTTGCCAAAGACAACAGAACATGAATGTAATCAAGCCTCTGAGTTTAGTTGCTAATTTCTGGTGACAGAGGAACATGTTGGTTTTTCCCAAGTGTGCCCTTGGCAAAACTGACTTCAAGAAACCCTGTGGGTGGGACCAGCAGTTAGTGTAATGGCTATGTCACTGGACTCCCGTGTAGTCGACCGCAGTTTGTGTCCTGGACCCAGTGGCTTAAAACTCACGCCAGGCGCGTGCGTGTTCATGCCCAAGATCCCCAGAGGAGAATGGAGAAGGGATTGTGGCGTGGCCATCCCTTCTGGGGGGTGATTTCTCGCCTTCTGTCTCTCTGTCTCTCTCTGTATGTCTGGCGAGCGCATGCGCCCTATAGCAAAAACCTCCCCCCCCCAAAAAAAAAAAAAAAAAGAAAGAAACCCTGTGGGTCAAACGCCGCAGGTTTGAGGAAAAGACAGGATAGAGGGAAGATCTGAGGGTTTTATCTGGCTTTTAAAAACACATGATATAGGGCGTGGTGGCGCTCGCCCTATGGCAAAAACCTATGGAGGCTGGAGGATTGCGGCATTGAGTCCATCTCACTCTCTCTGTCTCTCTCGGCGAGTGCACGATTTTTAAATAAAAAAAAAAAAACATGATATATATATTTTTAAAGAATTATTTTATTTAACTTTATTTATTATTATCATCATTATTATTTTCCAGCTTGATCAGAGAGAGAGACAGAGAGGAAGTGAGAAAGCAAGCCACCAGGTATGAGACTTGAACCTTGGTCAGCCATGTGGAAGTCCAGCGCCTTTAACCACCATGACACTTGCCGGCCCCAATCATGATATATATTTTTAAACTAGCAAGTATAAGCTATGATGTCTGGGGATACACACTTGGGTGATAAAATTACAATAGAAATACATGGAAGGGATTACTGTAGAGGTCAACGAGTTCCTTTTGGGGGCCAGGCAGGGCATGAGTGAGTCAGCACATGGTAGGGTTTCTGATGTGATTGGTAAAATCAATTTCTTTTTTTTTTAATTTCATTTTAACTTTACTTATTTATTCATTTATTTCATATTCATTTGACTAGAGAGGGACAAAGCGAGAGAGAGAGACAGAAAGTGAGACAGCAAGCCACCAGGTCTGGGACTTGAACCATGCTCACCCATGTGGGAGTTCAGCGCCCTTAACCACCACACCACCTGCTGGCCCCCAGGTACAGTCAATTTCTTGATCTTGGGTGGTGGTTACAAGGGTATTGGCCTTATCATAGTTATTGAAATGCTAGAGGGAGAAGTTCGGCTGTGAAGGGAAGAATAATGTGGACAGAGCTATGAAATTGAAGGTGTGTGTGCACGCATGTGTGCGTGTGTGGGTCTAACACCAGTAGAGGCAACCGGGGGCTACTGTGATGATCTTTCTTGCTCCTTTTGAGGATGGAATTCTGACTGCTTTTTCCTATTCCAAAGTTGTTTTGGGAGAGTTAGGCCTATAACATTAACAGACCATTGATAGCGGGATAGCGGGATGCTACATCCTGTCCCAGGCATAGCGGGTTTCTTTTCTTTTTTAGAGGTTTTTGCACTTGCCAGACAGACAGAGAGAGACAGGGAGACAGAAAGTGAGAAATCACCCCCTGGGGGGGATGGCCAGACCGCAATCCCTTCTCCTCCATTCTCCTCTTGGGATCTTGGGCAGGCACACACACGTGCCAGGCATGAGTTTTAAGCCACCGCGTCTGGGACACAAACTGCGGTCAACTACATGGGAGTCCAGCGACATAGCCATTACGCTAACTGCTGGTCCCTTTTTTTTTTTTTTTATTTAAAGAGAGATTCTTGCTATAGGGCACATGCACTTGCCAGAGAGACAGAGAGACAGAGAGAGACAGAAGGCAAGAAATCATTCCCTAGGGAAGATGGCCATGCCACAATCTCTTCTTTTCCATTCTCCTTTTAGGATTTTGGGCACACAAGCACATGCACCAAGTGTGAGTTTTAAGCTACCGGGTCTGGGACTCGAACTGTGGTTGACTATGTGGGAGGTCAGTGATGTAACCATTACGCCATAAAATGATTTATTTACATGTGTATGATAATATAATTTATCATTATTACTACGTTTGCTATAGGGCACGTGTGCTCACCAGAGGGAGACCCAGGAGAGAGAGGGAAAGTGAGAAAGCAAGCCATCAGGTCCAGAACTCAACTGCAGTGGACCATATGGAAATCCTGCCCCTTAACCACCATGCCACAGGCTGGCCCTCAGGAATAGTGTTTCACAATGCATAGTAAGCCTTATTATGTCTTAAGCATAGACATTCTTTTGTTGATTTCTTTCCGGTACAGAGACTTGTGTTTTTCTTATCCAAATCCTAATCAAAGAATTTCAAGCTCACCTATAACCTACAAGCCTTCGTTCCCAGATGTCCCACCTTTTAGACCAGGCCAATGCAAAGGAATCCTTAGGCTGATTGACAACGCTCTTGCTCTCAGAACTAAATAAAAGGAACCACTGTATCTTAGCTCCCCAAGAAACACATTTTTCTTTCTTTGGACCTAGTCACTCAAATTTGTGCTTCAACTGCATTAATTAAAATTTCTACAGAGTAGGTTATTTCCATCAACACTCTCCCCATTTTGCTTCATGGTTTACAAACCCTTCCACTTCCTTCACAAGGCAGAAAAAGCAAGGGTTATTCTCCCCACTTTACGGTTGGGAAAACTGAGGCCTTGAGTGTGCCACTTACGACGTGCCCCAAGACGTGCTGCTAATCAAGGGCAGAGGCTACCCAGAACCCGGCTCCTGCCTGCCGTCCCCAGCACAGGAGAGAGCGAGGCTAGCTGTCTGACCCAGGGATTTCCTGCAGGAGTCACTGAGATTCTGATGAACAGACCTCGTGCCCGCAATGCCCTGGGGAACATCTTGGTCGACCAGGTAAGAGAGGGAGATCCCAGGGTGGGCTGGGAAGGGCTGGGCGCCATCTGAGGGATGTCCTCTGCAGCTGCAGGAAGCTCTGGTCCAGCTGCGGGAGGACCGGCAAGTGCGTGTCCTGCTCTTCAGAAGTGGAGTGAAGGGCGTATTCTGTGCAGGTGGGTTCCCTCTCGTGTCCCCAGCAACCTGCAGGGCTGGCGTCACCTCAGGTCAGCTCCAGCACTGGTGCATCGTTTCCTGACACTTTCTGAGAGCTGACACCAACATCCTGCCATCTGCAGGTGCAGACCTGAAGGAGCGCGAGCGGATGAGTGAGGCCGAGGTGGGGATCTTTGTCCAGAGACTTCGAGGCCTTATGAATGAGATCGGTGAGGGTCTGGGAGTGGGATGCAGGAGGGCATTTGGGGGGCCCTCCTACACACACCCTGTGTTCCAAAGAGACCATTCTGTTTTGAGCTCTGTGGAGAAACAGATGATTCTTCCAGGGGGATGGACATGGAATTCTACAAGGAGTGGGTGACAGCAGGGTTCAAAGGGCATTTCTCCCTGAGCAGAAATGCAGAACTCTGGCTCTTCAATCTTTTTTAACCCACTAGAACGGACTCCTCCCACCATCTTCAAACCAGACCACTCCGGAGGAGTTAAGTTTCACCCTGCATGCTTCCAGGCTTTGACTAGAGCTATGCCCTTTGCCTGGAATACCTCTTCTTGGCTTCCTGAACTTTTACTCTTTTTTTTTTTTCCTGGAGAGGTTTTTGCTATAGGGCGTGTGCACTCGCCAAAGAGACAGAGAGAGACAGAGAGACAGAAAGCAAGAAATCACCCCCCAGGGGGGATGGCCACGCTGCAATCCCTTCTCCTCCGTTCCCCTCTTGGGATCTTGGGCACGTATGCACACGTGCCCAGCGTGAGTTTTAAGCCACCGGGTCCGGGACGTGGACCATAGTGGACTACATGGGAGTCCAGTAACATAGCCATTACATTAACTGCTGGTCCTTTTTTATTATTTTTTTTCACTTTTACTCATCTTTAATGGCACCAATGCTTCCTCCAGGAAGCCTTCCTGACCTACCCTAATTACTCACTTACCTTCCCCATTAGACTGAGCCCCATGGGTGCAGGGCCATGTCTGATTCAGTTCTGTGTTCTCGGCAGCCATCACAGGGCTTGACACACAGAAAATCAGGTTCCAGGGAGGCCAGCAGGACAGTGGACCTGAGCATACGCCGTCCATCTCCCTACTCCCCTTCCCCAGTTGGTCCTGTGACTTTTGTCTAATAACTTGGTTGAGGTGCCAGGTGAAGTCCCTTAACCTAGAACCAGTGAGGCCCTCTGTCCCAACCAGCTTGGCCCTCTCCAACTTCTAGCCACTGTCCTGGTCCTGCCAGGACCTTGCAGGCTGAGCCCCTCTCCATCTTCACAGCTGCCTTTCCTGCGCCCACCATTGCAGCTATGGATGGGTTTGCCCTGGGCGGAGGCCTGGAGCTTGCCCTGGCCTGTGACCTCCGAGTAGCAGGTACTGGGCCAGGGCTGGTGGGGGGAGAGGGAGAGGGGGAGGAGGGAAGCCAAGTAAGGTCTGGAGGTTCTGCAGATCAGCCACTGCTCTCGGCCTTCCAACTGAGAGCCGAGGCAGGAGAGGGGTCACAGAGGGAGCTCAGGCAGAAGCTGCTTTTGCTCATGGCCTGGCCACTGTCAGGACTCCCTTTCCTCACCTGGGAAGTAATTCCAGCACCCTTAACCATCACGCCACCTACTGGTCCCGTCTGGGGAGTAATTCTACCAACCTAGAGCAATTGCTGACAGGGCAGACAGAAAAAAAAGAAAACAAAACACACAGGAAAGTCAAGGAGGACAAAGGCCAAGGCTTACTCTTTTAGCTCTGCGCAAGTCACCTTTATCATATCTGAACAAAGGTGAATCATGGGGATGACGGGTCTCTGGCACGGCGGGTCCCTGGCAGGTACACTGCCTTCTGTTCATCCGTACCAGCCAAGGTTTGCATTTCTTGTTCTGCGCAATCGAGCTTTGTTTGAAAAGCAGAGGGGACGAGGGCAATCATCGACCACAGCTTACATGACAGGCCTAGTGGTTGGGAGCACCCATCTCAGTGCCACTCCCCCACGGCTTCATCCTGCCACCCCAGGAACCACACTTGAAAACGTGTAACTCCAGGCATGAAGGTCACTTCCACCTGCACAATTCACGTCAGAGAGAAGGAACTGACCAGGTGACAGCTCAGGTCACACGCCCCACTCTGCTGCTCACCTGCTCAGTTTAGGCAACTGACTCACAATGTTCGGTGAGGACAGAGCCCGGATAAGCAGCATGTGGCCACTCCCTCCTGCCTACAGCACACCTCAGATGGCCTGTGCTGATTCAGGGGAGGCCTGCAGGGTGGGTAAGTCAGGGAAAGCTCAGAGGAAGTAGAACTCAGGAGGATGTGGACTGGGACAGTCGGGGACACTTCAGGCTGTCACCAAAAGCAAGGTGGGAGGGTTAACAGTGGTGGGAACAGGAGTCATCGACACCCTAGACCACACCACATCTAAGGGTGCGTGAGCTGGAGAACCCACTAACCCCCAAATGGGTGCCAGGTGCCTCGTAAGGCCCATTCCTCATTCCAAGCCCTGGTATCTCACTGGACCCTTGGCCACGCTCTGAGGCAGGCAGACAAGGCCAAGCATCTTTTGCCCACCTGAGGCTGAGGCTTGAGCAGGGTCAGACTTGCTGGTACCTCTGCTCCCTACTCCCCCACATGGGCAGTGGGAGGACCCCAGCCTCCGGACTTCCAAGCTAGGGCTGTCTTCCAGGGGCAGACTGGAGGTGAGGGAAGAGGCTGGCAGGTAGAGACCTGGGGCAGCTGCCCCTTCTCCCAAGGGCTTAGCACTGGAGGATGGGGGGAGGGTGGCAAGGAGGGCCTCACCGTGTTCTGTTTTAAGCAGCTTCCTCAGCTATCATGGGGCTGATCGAGACCACTCGAGGGCTCCTCCCAGGAGCAGGTAACCTTACCAACTCCACCTACTCTCCCTACCTGCCAAGTCCACTCCGTATCTGGGACGCATGCTCACTCTCGTCTCTCTGAGCCCTGCCCTCCCACCCTAACTCAGTCTGCTCCTCTGAGAAGTCCCGGCGGACTCCTAGGCTGGGCCTTCTTAGTTCCCAGGCTGCCCCCTCACCCCTCCCTCCATCCTGGCAGGAGGGACTCAGAGGCTGCCCCGCTGTCTGGGGGTGCCCCTGGCCAAGGAGCTCATCTTCACCGGCCGGCGACTGACTGGGGAGCAGGCCCAGGCACTGGGGCTGGTGAATCATGCTGTGGCCCAGAATGAAGAGGGTGACGCCGCCTACCAGCGGGCTCGAGCACTGGCCCGGGAGATCCTGCCCCAGGTGTGGGGACTGCCTGGCCTGGGAGGGAGGCAGGCCACGGTGCTCTCTGTGGCCACACAAGATCCATTCACCCAAAAACATAGAAAAGGAATCCTCTTTGCATTTGTTGCATCTGTTCAGAAAATCAAATTAAATTTAAATAATACATTAGATAAATGAAAATTGAATCCTGAAGGACTAGAATCGAATGGGCTGGAAGCCCAGTGCTGCCCATAAAACTTTCTGAGATGGTAGAAATGTTCTGTACCTATGCAGCTACTAGCTAAATGGAGTCGTTAGGTAAAATACTTATTCCTGTCACATTTCAAATGATGACAGTCACATGTGGCTGCAGCTACTGTATTACACAGCGCAGCCCGGAAGTGCCCCAAACCTGAAAAGGCAAGATTTCTGTTGTTTTTTGCTATTGGGCACATATGCTTACCAGTGTCAGTGAGAAATCACACCCATCCCCAGGTGTATGCCACCCCGCAATCCTGTCTCTATGCTTCTCTCAGGATTTTGGGCACACACATGCCCAGCATGATTTTCAAGCTGCCAGGTCTGGGACTTGAACCAGTCACCTCTGTGAGATCCAACACTTTAACTTCCATGCCACCTGCTGGCCCCATGAAAAAGTAAGATTTTAAAGCGAATATAGGGTCCAGCAGGTGGCATGGTGGTTAAGGTGCTGGACTCTCATGTGGCCAACTGCAGTTTGAGTCCTAGACTTGGCTGCTTGCTTTCTCACTTTCCCTCTCTCTCTGGTGAGTGCACATGCCCAGTGGCAAATTAAAAATATATAGTAGTACTACTATTACTACTACTAATAATAAATCAAATTAAATAGATCCTTTTTTAAAGATGTATTTTTAAAATTATATTTATTATCATTATTAGTTCCTTTTAAATTTTATGAGAGGAAGAGAGAAAGCAAGCCATCAGGTCCAGGACTTGAACCAGATAGCCATAGTGGGAGTCCAGCACCTCAACCACCATGCTACCTGCTGGCCCCAGTAAATAATTCTTTTAACAAAAAATAAAGTGAATAAAGTGGATGTGGAACTATCGACTCATCTTTCCTACCATTCTGGACAGCAGAGACTTTTAAAAAAATAACTTATTATCATTTTAAGTTGCTATAGGGCACATGCACTCACCAAAGAGAAAGAGAGAGAGAGAGAAAGCAAGCTGCCAAATCTGGGCCTTGAACCATGGTCAGCCATGTGAGAGGCCAATGCCTTAAGCACCTGCTGGTCCCAGGTGGAGAGTTTTTACAGTTTGCCAGAGGGCGTATACTGGAGACAGAGAGGAAAAGTGAGAAAGCGTTCCCAATGGGGAATGGTCACACCACAATCCTCTCCTATTTCTGCCCATTCTGGATATGGAGCACATAAGCACATTTACCCACTGTTTCTCAAGCTACTGAACCCAGGACTCAACTGCAGTCAGCCATGTGGGTGGGATTCAGCTGACCTGGGGCTGGCAGGTGGTATATGGTTAAGGGTGCTAGACTCCCACATGGCCGACTGTGGTTCAAGTCCCAGCCCTGGCAGCTTGCTTTCTCACTTTCTCTCTCTGGTTCTGTCACTCTCTGGTCAAATTAAAATAAAGTTAAATCCTTTTAAAAAAAGAAAAGAAAAGAAAAAAAAGAAATCCGCTGACCTGAAATTCTTGAAATAAAGAAATAAACAAAAACAAACCTTCGAACAGTCTCTTAGCAGTCTCCCCGAACAGTTTATAATTGCTAAGGAACTGAACCTCAAGATTCAGACTTCCAAATATAGTGAAATAATGGCATTATGTAATTACTGTACTTCAAAGTAGCTCTGTAGGATGTGGGATTAGGCCTGCCCGGGTGTAATGCTGGGTGCAACTGCAGGGCACGGACCCTCAGCTGGGCACCCAGGAACTGGTGAGAGGCTCTGCAGGCTCCTCACTGCTCTGTGGGGATGGGGCAGAGAGGAAAGGAGCTCTTAAGTTTCCACAGAGAAACAGCTGAAATGGAGCCAGGCTTAACGAATCCATAAGACATCTGGACGTGGCCCATCCCTGTCAGACACAATGCCAGGAAGTTCAAAACAGCGTCTCGGTTACCAGGACAATCAGTTGAGGGGTTTATCCCCATTTTATTTGTGACAAAACAGACCCAGGAAGGTTTAGTGACTTGCTTATTAAGGTCACAAAAAGTAACCACAGTATCTGAAAAACAGCACTGGTATTTCAGCTTTTATTTTAGAAATACATAATATAAAAACTGTTGTTTTATTTTTAAGAGTGTAGAAAATGTACAAAACTGAAAACATTTAATACACTGCAAATACAAAAAAATTTACAAACATGTTACAAAACAGTCTATAAAAATGTTCAGCAGACATTTTAATCTTAAGACAGTATATGAATAATGCAATAAGAAAAGTTATTTTAGAAAATCTTTATCCATCCTGTAAACTTAAATAATCATACCCTTTTTATAACTGAGATTTTTAATTTGAAGGGGACATCAGGGACTACACCTTTTTCTTTTTTTTTTTTTTTAAATTTTTGCTATGGGACACATGTGCTTACTGGAGACAGAGAGAGTTCAAGTTAAGAAATCACCCCTCAGGGGCACGGCTACACAGCAATCCCTGCTTCATTTTCCTCTCAGGATTTTGGGCACGCACTCAAATGCATTCAGGGTCTTTCAAGTCTCTAGGTTCAGGACTTGAACCATGCAGTGGGCCATGTGGGCTCCAGTCTCCTTAACCCCCATGCCTCCAACTTGCCCTGGAGACTGTAACTTTTTAAGTAATACCAAGTTTGACTTAAAAAAAAAAAAAAAAAAACCAGCAACCAAGTTTGACAAAAAAAAAAATTGGCTTGTTTTCACTTTTTAAAAAATTTCTAGTTTCATCATATAAATAAATGAAGTCTGATGAGTTGCTTGGACAATTTCAATGCTGTCAGGTTTCTATTACACCTCTTCGAAAAGTCTCTGAACTAATAGAGAACTCCGAGTGACTCAAGGTGACTGTGGCTTCTGCAGAGGCGGCATATCCAGGTAGATTTGGAAACTTTGTGGAGTTTGTCTTTTTCCATGAACTGAGTAATGAACCTCAACATTCAGATTTCCAAATAGGGTGAAGTAATGGTATTATGTAATTACCGTACTTCAAAGGAGCTTTGTATACTAAAATGCCAGCCTGCCAAAAACTATACATCACTAATCCTGAAGCGAGGCCATTTTGGTGTAACTTCCAGCTGTTACTGTGTACTCAGAAGAGTCCCCAGATCAAGTGAGTGTCAGGGTTGGTGTGGTACATGGCTACCACTGACTAGGGCGTTACAGGTTCCAGAATGTACTCAGCCCAGAATTTGTCAATATGTATACAGCCTGAATCTTTTTTCTTTTTTTTGAGACATTTTTACCTTAGGGCGCATGCACTCACCAGAGAGAGACAGAGACAGTGAGAGAGAGAGTGAGAAATTACCCTCAGGGGTGATGGCCATGCTTCAACCTTTCGCCGCCATTCTCCTCTCAGGATCTTGGGCACATGCACACACATGCCTAGTGTGATTTTCAAGCCACTGGGTCCAGGACTTGAATTGTAGTCGGCCATGTGGGAATCTACACTACCTGCTGGTCCCATAAAGCCTGAATCTTAGCACTCAGACTTCCTCCTTTAACAGTAAACGTATGTTACTCTTTGAAAAAACGGATCTGTCCATTTTCTTTTTGGACATCAAAGGGATGGTTATCTACTGTAGCCACAGATGACCTATGGCTCTCATTTCCAGTCACATAAAATTATCGATCTTTCCTCTAATAATTCTCTTAAATATATGAATATACATGTACATGATATATTCACATAGAAATGTGTAGTTTTTATAATGGTTATATTGCTGGATCCTGACATGGCCAAACGTGGTTAAAGTTTTAGACCTCGCAGCTGGAAACTCATGCCGGGTACGTGTGCACGTATGCCCAAAATTCCGAGAGGGAAAGGGATTGTGGCGTGTCCATCCCCCCTTTGGGTTGATTTTTGCTTTCTGTCTCTGTTGAATGCACACAACCTACAGCAAAAATCTCTAAAAAAAAAAACAAAAACAAAACACGTTGATGGAAAGCAAATCAAACAAGGTGGAGTGATAACCTAGCCCTAGTTTACCTATTCAGTTTGGGGTTCTGTTTTTAATTTTTCCCTAAAAGTACATGTGCTCACCAGAAACAGAGGAGGGAAAGCCCTCCCCCTCAATGGGGAATGGTCATGCCGCAATTCCTTCTCCATTTGCCCCTCCTTTGGAATTTTGGGCACACATACACATCTGGTGTTATTTCAAGCCACCATGTCTGGGACACAAAACCACAGTTGGCCATATGGGATCCAGCTACCTTAACCACCAGGCCCCAGGCTGGCCACCCTATCCAATCTTCAAATGGAGAGTCCTGTGTCGTCAAAACCCTCAGTCAGTCAAACATGTGGGGAGTTCCCAATCTCTTTCCACAGAGGACCACTATAACAGCTTGCAGAGTCTTCCAGAAATTTTCATTGCATATCTAAGATATGTATTATGCACATATACTCACACTTAAATAACTCACAAATAAAAACTCACCTTATTCTGAACTATGCCATTTCTTGATTTTTCAAAATCTTGGGTATAAATATATATGGCTTGTTACGGTTACATTGACTTGTGTTCCTATTATACTATCAGAGCTCAGCCATTTGAGTTAATGTTATCTAATAGGTTATTATAGTGATATTTGGTTCAATCAAGGTTTTAATTGTGTGAATATAATCCATTACAAAATAAGAAACTTTATTACATCTCTATAGATTATTGATTCATTCCATTAACTGTAAGAGATTTATGATATGAATAGATAATAACAAAATAAAGTAACTAAAATTTCCTTCTAATGATGGTTTGGAGGAAAAGGGACACATTTTTAGAGGCTAAACCAATTCTCACAGAAACTATGAGGACATAAAATCAAGATATAGATACTATTGGGTCATCAAAAAGTCATGACACATTTTTGCATAGAAAATACGTCATGGTTTTGACAACTCAATAAAAAATTCAAACAGTGGGAACCAGCAGTTAGCATAATGGCTATGTCGCTGGATTCCCACATAGTCAACCGCGGTTCGTGTCCCAGACCCAGGGGCTTAAAACTCAAGCAGGGCGCGTGGGCGTGCATGCCCAAGATCCCGAGAGGAGAATGGAGGAGAAGGGATTGCAGTGTGACCATCCCCTCTGGGGGGTGATTTCTCGCTTTCTGTCTCTATGTCTCTCTCTGTCTGTCTGGCGAGCGCACGCGCCCTGTAGCGAAAACCTCTCCAAAAAAAAAAAATTCAAACAGTATGAAAGAATACAAAGTGAAGTTCTCTATTTCCCCCACACACCTTCCGCAAATGGAATCACAATATACATACTAACATACTCCTTGTGTTTCTACTTAGTGGCTTCTGGAGATGATTCCATTTAAGTATAAAACTAGCTAGCTTCTCTTTCAAACTGTACACTTTTCAATCAGGGTATGTGCCATCAGTATTTAACTGATTCCCTAATGATGAACCTCTATGGTGTTTTCTACTTTTTAGCTACTGAACAAGAGGAACTTTGAACAAATCTCATTGTACTTTAGGAGTTCATCTGTAAATTCCTCCATGAAACTGCAACCTCAAAGGGCATGAGCAGCTAAGGGTTTTTTTGTTTTGTTTTGTCTTGTTTTTAATTAAAGTTATTTAATTTATTTATTCATTTTTATTTTTAACATGACCAGAGAGAAAGTGAGAAGCAAGCCTCTGAGATTCCTACCGTGGTTGGCCATGTGGGAGTGTCCAGTGTCTTAACCACCACGCCACCTGCTGGTCCCCGCAGCTAACGTTTTGCCAAACTCTTACTGAATCATTGTGCCAACGGATGTCAGTAAGGCATGGAAAGAGTCTCCCCAACCTCAGCAACAGTGGCCACTACCAACATTTTCATATTTACTGGTCTGAGGCAAATAGAGTTGCTGGCACTTCAGTGTTGAGGTGCAAGAGAGGGAAGCTGAGTGACCATCTTTGGATCTTTTTCTGTGAACTACCTTGACACAGCCTTTGCAAATTTTTAAATTAATCTATACCAAACTTTTTATAAATTTTGGAATTCATCTATCCTAAGTACTGTCAAAACTTTCTGTCAGCTTTTGACTTGCCTTTGTGGCATTTTTCATTCATAAAGTTCTTCAATTCTATGCATCTAGCTTTTTCATTCCTGGCATCTATGCTAACAAACTTTAAATGTCAGCTTACTCATAAACACTCCAGAGAACACGACATGCCTATCAGGGGATGCATCTGCCTTCCCCGCTTGGTATGGGCTAGGGTTGGGGTGCCAGGGCTGCAGTGGCACAGGAGGGAGGGAAGGACCAGTGACAAGCAAGGTCAGCTACTTGGAAGCTGTTGCTTCTAAGTGGCTTGGTGTCCCGATGCACCTGGGTTTCAACCTACGCCTGTCAGACCTAAACAGTTCCTAACCTTGACTGTTACTCTGCCGTCGGGGAGGCAAATCTAAGCATGATCCACCACTTTGGATGAACACAGTCAAGAGAGCCATCCCCCGCCCCCGAGCCCCACCATGCATCCATAAGATGGTGTTTATTGACGACACCAGCCTGGAAGGGAGGGCAGAACCTTTACAGACGTCTATGGGAAAGTACTTTGAAAACTATGTTGTATATGATGAAAGGATGGGTTGAATGACCAGAGCCCTAGATGATTAGGACTGAGAGGGCCGACAATCAGATCCCGGTTCCCTTCGTTACTGAAAAGAAATCTCCACGAGGTAGTAAGACTAAAACTAAGGAAACACAGCAGTGGAACGTCTGGGACTAGACCCAGATGTGTGGCTCCCTAAAACTCTTCCCTCACAACAGAGTTGTGTATCTGTTCAGTTCACACTACTTGTATAGATCCCCCGCTCAACCTGGCTTTTTCTTTTCCCTAGGCCCCCATTGCTGTGCGGCTGGGCAAAGTAGCCATTGACCGAGGAATGGAGGTGAGAGGGACTGGGGTCCTCCCTGGAGGGCGCTAAGTCAGGCGTGACCCAAATGCCTGCTTTCCTGACCTTAGACAGCAAAGCTGGAAAAAATCATAGAACTGGATTCTCCTAACAGACTTCAAGTCTGACTTTCTCTTTGCCTCAGTCTGCCCATCTACAAAATGGGAAGTTTCACCAGAGATATTCTTGATTACATTTTATCCTCATTTCTCTCCCTGGGAAAGAGAAGAAAATGGGTTCGGAAAGGATAGATGACTTGCCCAGGGTCAGAGGCTCCCAGCCCAGTTCCTGGGTTTGTCTGCTGGTCCTGTGGCCTTGAAGGTCAGGCTCAGGGTGATGCCTAGACATGACTCACTCAGAACACACTGAATCTAAACCTGGGCTGGGACCCTGGGACGGTCAGATAGGTCAATGCCCCCAGGGTGGGGAGGAGGAACAGAGACATGAATCACTAATGAAGGTCACCATCAACCAAGCAGACACCCAGGGAAATGTGCTAGCCATGACAGCCACATGTGGTTTTTAAACTTAAGGAAAAGCTAATAAAGTACTCAGTTGCTCCCTCTTACTAATCACTCAAAAGCCACATGTCGCTAATGGCTACTGTACTGGGCAATGCTGGGTTAAGGTCTTGCTAAAATTGAGCAGAGAAAATGAAAAGAATTGAGCAAAAACAGCAGTGTCTCAACCAGCTTGACTGAGTAGAGGAAGGGTAAGACAACAGGGCAGGGAAGTGAGCCGCCTGGGCCGGGTGTTAGGCAAAATGCATCCAAAGATCTGCTCTCCCACACCCGGTTATGGCCTCAGGCAAATTCATTTTTCTATGCCTCAGATTGCTCACCTGCATAGTAGGGGTAACAACCCTTGTGAAAAACCGAGTTTGCGCATCTGTACACACACGTGGATGGCATCCCTCCCTGCAGTGCTTGTGAGTGCTGGCAGTAGGAAGCGCTAGCAGCAGAGGCTCGAAAAGTTGCCAGAGACCAGGTCATAAGGGCCCGGCTCTTTATCCTAAGGACAATGGAGGCTGGCAAGAATGCTGGGCTGACAAGTGGCTCAGTGAGGCAGCCAGATGGGCCGGAACCGCTGGCTGTGAATGCGCAGTGTGGGCTCCCCTGTCCTGGTGCATGTCTCAGTCCCTCGGGCTGTGTCCATCCCCCCCATCTCCCAGCACTGTTGGGAGTGGTGTTCCTTCTCCAGGTAGGGAGTCCTTTGTCACAGCCTTCTCTGCTCATACAGACTGGTGTAGCAGTGGTGGAGGCACACAAGGCCAGGCTAATCCAGGGAACGCTTGTTTCTTGCAGGTGGACATTGCATCAGGGATGGCCATTGAAGAAATGTGCTATGCCCAGGTATGTGGCTGCTGCCAGTCCACACTTGCTCATCAGCAGAGGCAGGGTCAGATGTGGGCCTCATGCACCAAACGAATAACCTAGAAGGTTCCTCCCACCCAGGCTGACTCAGGGCCACCCCTCCCACAATACAATGAACCTGAGTGTTTCCAAGGGAACAGCACTGCTGTTCCCTGGGGCTGTCCCCTCAGCCGTCGGTGGTGGTGAATGCTACTCCACTCTGAGCAGCACAGGAAACACACAGGTACTTCATGGAGGAGGCGTGGCTTCTGCTGGCCCTGTACAAGTCACCACTGTAGAGGCCAGGCTGGAGTTGGTATGTCAAGGTCTTGGTGACAGCCCAAAGACTGTGATTTCAGTGGAGGGCTGCAGGGCATGGGGCTGCCCTATTCAGCCCGTCTCTGGGAGAGTTAATAATGCTCATCTCTGGGTTAACAAATATCCAAAATATTCGTAAGCAAGAGGTCCTGGTACTTGTAGAATCTACTGTGAAGCACTTATGCACATGGATTCAAGACCAGATTTGCCTCTCCACTGAGCAGCCTCCTAGCAGAAAGCTGCAGGGGCAGTGAGCTCTGTGGAGCACGTACGCAGCGACCAAGTAGAGGCGCCTGTGATGGAGCACAGGTGCTAGAGGCTGGCCTGCCCACCCCACGAAGCCAGGGAACCACCTTTGTGTGGCCTAAGACCAGAGTCCAGACACAATGGGAACACTTGGATTCTGCCCTTGACTGGTCGAGACAAGCTTAAACGGCTCCTCTGGCTCTGCTCTCCTCAAACCAATAACCTGTACTTGTAGAACATCCCAACGCGGGACCGGCTGGAAGGCATGGCAGCCTTCAGGGAGAAGCGACCCCCCGAATTTGTTGGCGAGTGACTCTACTAACCTTAAGCATGGGCAACACATGCCTTAAAGCGCAGTTCCAGAGGGAACTGCAGAGCGACTGCCCTCATCATCCGTATCATCTCTCTGGACTTCTGTTTCTTCACAAAGATCAAGGATATAAAGTGACTGGTGGCCATACCAAGGTGCGACCACATCACCTACTACTACCACCTCCTATACCCCTGCCCTGCTAGACAGTCTCTGGGTCGGCTTTCTTCAGAGAATGCCTATCTCTCCCCATTCAAATGATAAACTGAAGATTAAAACAGACCCTTCAGGCCTATCAATGGCAAGGTGGTTAAGGCAGTTGGATCCCACATGATCAACTGCGGCTCAGGTCCTAGATCTGGCAGCATGGAAATCGTGCCTGGTGCATATGTGCCCCAAATCCCAAGAGCAGAAAGGACTGCAATGTGGCCATCTCCCCAAGGGGTTCTTTCTCATTTACCACCTTCACCTCGCACCACAGTCCCTCTGGTGAGGGCACTTGCTCTATAGCAAAAACCAACAACAAACCCTAAAACAGATCTGACTCTTAGTTCCTGCTTGCTGCTCCTCAGTTATCAGGCACTCACTAGAGATGGCAAAGGTCATACCAAAAAAACTAACCCTAGTTTCATCCTGTGGACAAGAGAGATAATAAATAAGCCCACATACTTGGCTGGGCATGTTTCGGACTGCAAATCCCAGATTTCTGCTTGTTGCTTGCTGTGTAACCTTAGATAAATTTCTTTGGGCCTGGGCATTCTCATCTGCAAAGTGAAACTATTGTGAAGATTTAGAAAAATAAACCTCATGTTCAACAAATGTGTTGTAATTGTTTAACTTAAGGTGTTCTTTTGAGGACCAAATGAAATCATCTGTGAAAGCCTTTCATAAACTGTAGGGTGGCAGGAAAACTTGGATGGTCTTCAGAAGTACTGAGCAGGGAAGCTCAGGAAATGGGCAGGTCATATGTGAATTGAAGCCTGAAGGATGAATAGGCATTGGATGCAGAAAAAAACAGAGGCTGGGGCCAGCAGGTGGCATGGAGATTAAGGCACTGGATCCCACATGGGTAACTCTGCAGTTCAAGTCCCAGACTTGATGACTTAGAAAATACATCAGGCATATATACATGCATGCCCCAAATCCCGAGAGAATGGAGGAGAGGAGACTGTGGTGTGGCCATCATCCTATGGGGTGATTTCTCTCTTTATTTCTCTCAGGTGAGAGCACACACCCTCCAGCGAACTTTAAAAAAAAAAAAAAAAAAGAAAGGTTGACAGGAACAGCATGAGCAAAGGTGAGCATACCACCGGGGCTGATCTGCAGGTGGCCTCGCTAGTCTCAGTGCCCCTCCTCCTCTGTACCCAGGCTGCAACATAAACTGTGACCTTAGGGTCATTGTGTACCTGCCGTGGAGCTCTGGCGAAGTATCCTGGGCCTAGACCTGGCGTCCCAAGACCACAGGCCACGACACAGCTGTGTTACTATGACACAGCCAGTAACACTGACTTGCTGCTAAATGCATATGTGATGTGCCCTAAGGACCTCCATAGACACTGGTTCCCATAACACATCCTCCCATTGGCAACGCTACTACCTGGTGACACAGTATTCTGAGGTATTGGGACCAGGTCAGTAAACTATGATATCCTTTTTGGAATCATACAGAAGAATAATGTGAGAAAATACAGTTGAAGAACTATGGAAGGAAACAGATTACAAATTCCACTTATCTACACTGATGATTAATAATTTTTCCCAAAAAACAAGTTTCTTCTTTAATTCCAAAAGATGGTATCTACTGTAATAGTCCAGTTTAGATTTTGAACCAAGCCACTTAAACGCCAAAAAAAAAAAAAAAAAACCACAACACAACAAAAAAACCCTAGTCATATGCTAATCATCAAACAGACCTTGACTTTTCTTAATTGAAAAACTCTGATTTAAAAGATGAGTGCTAGAACATGCTCACTAGGTGTCAGCACTAACACATGGAGGTCTCCCTCACCCTCAGAGCAGCTTTGCAGAGAACACAGCAGCTCCTGACAGGGCCTCAGTCACAGTGGAGGCTGGCCCTCAGGAAGTTCATACGGGGTAAGAGAATCCCAGATCTTCTTGGCAAAATCTTTTCTGGGCCTTCCCTTTCCTCCCAGTTTTGGTCACTGTCCCCCACAACTTAAATCTTGGCATGGTGGTTAAGACACTGAACTCCCACATGACCAAGAGTGGTTCAAGTCCCAGACCTGGTAGCTTGTTCTCCCTGTCTGTCTCTCTCTAGTGAGCACATGTGCCTTATAGCAAAAAGAAAAAAGAAAAAAGAATCTTGAGGGACCAAGATTTACAACTTACAATCTTTTATCTAAATGGGCTACTCTCAGGCCCAAGTCCCACCTGCCCTACCAGCACACCCAGGTACACAGAAGGCTGTGTCCACATATGTCATCTGGTCTGTAAAGTCATGGAGAAAAAAGACCAAACATGGAATACCCAAATAATAAAAAAAGTATTTCTCTTCCCGCCACACCTCAAATGGAAGGTACTTTAATATCTACAGAGAAAAAAGTTTCTTTTCCCTCCAATGGAGTTTCTACCCGAGCTTTTTAGGCATACATCTCCCGTCTTTCTTCATGTATGTCTTTTCTGCTAGTTTCACATAACCAGAGGTAACTACTCAGGAAATATAACATTAATGTCAAGGTCCCTGCGTCTTTCCTTTCCTCTCTGGGGTAACCAGGTCTAGCTTCCTGAACAAGCATCAGGACTACCTACACACAAGGAACTGGCCGAGCTGATCCAACACGAGCACCGAGGACTTTCTACAGTCTATGATTTGATTTTTCAAAATTACTGCTGAGGGGGCATCCCCAAATGGTTTCAATTTGACATAGAATAATGGCTATCATACAAATCCAGCCTTCTCATAACTTACAGAAAAATCAACAATAAAAGGCCGGTGAGGAAGCCTTCACAAACTCCAAGAATAATTGGTTTTAACACTGAATTACTGTCCACAGAAGCCTGGCTGCTGACGCTCAGAGCTCACTGAGCCCCCGTGCCCCTCCACCTGGGGGGAGGAAATTTCTCACTTTTTGTCTCTCTGTCTCTCCAACAAGCTCATGCACCCTATAACAAAGATCTCTTTCCAAAAAAGAAGAAATATTAAATTAAATAAATAAATTTTTAATGTGAAAAGTTACATCCCTATATAATATTCTGTTCTCTTCTTTCTCTAACAAGCTTGCTACAAATGTATAGCAAGAACCACAGGGAAAATTTAAGCCTATTTGCAAACTTTCATATGAGGTTCACCCAAGAAAGTTGAGATGTTTTTAATATATGGGTAATTTTTATACATCACCCATTTTTAAAAATTCATTTTGAGGGACCAGCAGATGGTGTAATTTGTTACATCTCTGGACTTCCACGTGGTTGACCATGGTTGAAGTCCTGGACCCAGAGGCTTGAAACTCACACACCAGGCACATGCACATGCATGCCCAAAATCCTGAAAGGAGAGTGGAGAAGAGATTGTGGAATGACCATCCCCCGGGGGAATGATTTCGTGCTTTCTGTCTCTCTGTCTCCCTCTGTCTGTCTGGCAAGCACATGCGCCCTATAGCAAAAACCTCTCAAAAAAAGAAAAAAAAAACGCAAAAAAAAAAAAAAAAAAAAAAAAAAAACCACAACACAACAAAAAAACCCTAGTCATATGCTAATCATCAAACAGACCTTGACTTTTCTTAATTGAAAAACTCTGATTTAAAAGATGAGTGCTAGAACATGCTCACTAGGTGTCAGCACTAACACATGGAGGTCTCCCTCACCCTCAGAGCAGCTTTGCAGAGAACACAGCAGCTCCTGACAGGGCCTCAGTCACAGTGGAGGCTGGCCCTCAGGAAGCTCATACGGGGTAAGAGAATCCCAGATCTTCTTGGCAAAATCTTTTCTGGGCCTTCCCTTTCCTCCCAGTTTTGGTCACTGTCCCCCACAACTTAAATCTTGGCATGGTGGTTAAGACACTGAACTCCCACATGACCAAGAGTGGTTCAAGTCCCAGACCTGGTAGCTTGTTCTCCCTGTCTGTCTCTCTCTAGTGAGCACATGTGCCTTATAGCAAAAAGAAAAAAGAAAAAAGAATCTTGAGGGACCAAGATTTACAACTTACAATCTTTTATCTAAATGGGCTACTCTCAGGCCCAAGTCCCACCTGCCCTACCAGCACACCCAGGTACACAGAAGGCTGTGTCCACATATGTCATCTGGTCTGTAAAGTCATGGAGAAAAAAGACCAAACATGGAATACCCAAATAATAAAAAAAGTATTTCTCCCCCCGCCACACCTCAAATGGAAGGTACTTTAATATCTACAGAGAAAAAAGTTTCTTTTCCCTCCAATGGAGTTTCTACCCGAGCTTTTTAGGCATACATCTCCCGTCTTTCTTCATGTATGTCTTTTCTGCTAGTTTCACATAACCAGAGGTAACTACTCAGGAAATATAACATTAATGTCAAGGTCCCTGCGTCTTTCCTTTCCTCTCTGGGGTAACCAGGTCTAGCTTCCTGAACAAGCATCAGGACTACCTACACACAAGGAACTGGCCGAGCTGATCCAACACGAGCACCGAGGACTTTCTACAGTCTATGATTTGATTTTTCAAAATTACTGCTGAGGGGGCATCCCCAAATGGTTTCAATTTGACATAGAATAATGGCTATCATACAAATCCAGCCTTCTCATAACTTACAGAAAAATCAACAATAAAAGGCCGGTGAGGAAGCCTTCACAAACTCCAAGAATAATTGGTTTTAACACTGAATTACTGTCCACAGAAGCCTGGCTGCTGACGCTCAGAGCTCACTGAGCCCCCGTGGCTAGGAAGGGCATTCAGCACAGTGCGGGGCTCTGATAATTCAGGAAATGCATCCTGAAGTCGGACAGAATGGAGGCTGCCCCCTGCTGCACCAGGGGGTCCACCTCACCGTGCTCCCGGATGTCACACAACAGCTGCCATCCTCCTTCCTCCACCAGCATCTGGCAGTATCTGCTAGCTGAAAGAAAACCAAGCAAAGAAATGCCATGGACGACGGGCATTTTAAACATTCCCAAGGCACCACACTCACCTTTCTGAAGGAAGAATACAAGGTTTAAGTAAGCCTCCCCTTCTGAAACTTGCTACAGGGAGCGTGTGCTCACCAAAGAGAGAGAGAGAGAAAAAGGGAAAACGAAAAAGCACTCCCACTCCCACCCTGGGAAGATGGCCACACCATGATCCCTTTCTCTTCCATTCCACTCTGGGATTTTAGGCACCCATGCACACAGGTCTGCCAAGTTTTTCAGGCCACCTGGTATGGGATTCAAACCATGCAATTGGCCATGTGGGATATAGTCGCTTAACCATCAGACCATTGGCCCTTTGAGCTAGAAACTAACAGATAAAATTAGTCAATTCTAGGGGCCAGCAGGTGGCGTGGCACTTAAGGGCACTGGATTCCCACATGGCCAACTGTAGTTCGAGTCCTAGACCTGGAGCCTTGTTTTCTCACTTTCCATTTCTCTCTCTCTCTGTCTGTCTCTTTCTGGTCAAATTAAAAAATAATAATAACAAATAAAATTAAATAAATAATTCTTTAAAAAAAAAAAATTAGTCAAATCTGAAGCCAGCAGGTGGCATAGTGGTTTAGGGGTTGGACTCTCACATGGTTGTCCATGGTTTGAGTCCTGGACCTGATGGCTTGAAAACCATGCTGGGTGCTGGCAGGTGGTGTGGTGGTTGAGGTGCTAGACTCCCATATAGCTGACTGTGGTTCGAGTCCCAGAACTCATGGCTTGCTTTCTCACTCTCCCTCTCTTTCTCTCTCTCTCTCTCTCTTTCTGTGTCTCTCTGGTCAAATTAAAAGATAAATGAATGAATAAATAAAATTAAATTAAAAATTAAAAAAAAAAGAAAATCATGCTGGGCATGTGGGTATGCATGCTCAAACTTCAGTAAAATGGAGAAAGAATTGCAGTGTAACCACCCCCCTTAGGAGGGTGACTTCTCACTTTCCCCCTGTCTCTCACTGTCTCTTTCCAGCGAGCACATGAGCCATTTAAAAAAATGTTTAAATATGGGGCCAACAGACAATGTAATGGTTATTACTGGACTCCAACATAGTTGACCATGGTTCAAGTCCCGGACCCAGAGGCTTAAAACTCATGCTGTGTGTGTATGTATGTGGGAACCAGCAGTTAGCATAATGGCTATGTCGCTGGACTCTCATGTAGTCGACTGCGGTTTGCGTCTCAGACCCGGTGGCTTAAAACTCAAGCCGGATGCATGTATGTGCGTGCCCAAGATCCCAAGAGGAGAATGGAGGAAAAGGAATTACGGCGTGACCATCCCCCCTGGGGGTGATTTCTCACTTTCTGTCTCTATGTCTCTCTCTGTCTGTCTGGTGAGCACACGCGCCCTATAGCGAAAACCTCTCAAAAAAAAAAGAAAAAAAAAAAAAACTTGTGTGTGTGTGTGTGTGTGTGTGTGTGCACGTGCGTGCACGCACGTGCGCCCAAAATGTCAAGAGGAAAATGGGGAAGAGGGGATTGTGGTGTGGCCATCCTCCCCAAGGGGTGATTTCTTGCTTTCTGTCTCTGCCTCTAGGGAAAGCGCATGCGCCCTCTAAAGCAAAATCTCAAAAAAAAATTTTTTTTTAATAAACAAATAAAGAACCTGGGGACCAGCAGGTGGTGTGGTGGTTAAGACGCTGGACACTCCAATATGGCCGACCATGGTTTGGGTCCCGGACCTGGTGGCTTGCTATCTTGCTTTTCCTCTCTCTGTCTCTCTCTCTAGTCAAATTGGAATAAATGAATGAATAAATAAAATTAAGTAAATAGTAAGTTGTTCTGTTTTTTTTTTTTTAAAAAAAAAAAAAGAACCAAACTTAGAGAACACAGGTTAAGCAATTTTTCAAAACCCATTTTAAACTTATTCACTACATCGTGTAAAAACAGCTGAAAACAACTGTTTGGCATACATACGGTTTTTGCTGCAGACGTGATGTATAGCCCACAGGGCCCACAGCTGAACCTCTGGCTGGGAGAAGTTGCCAAGAAGTGGAAAAAATGCCTTGAATGATCTAAAGCACAAAGATGTTAATTCAGGGATATAGTAATAATTTTCAACATTTTCTCTGAGTCAGTTCCTCAGAGACCCACATTACTGAGCATACATGGGAGCCACCATTTTAGAAAGTACATTCTGCGTCAGACACTTGGTATATTTAGCATATCATTTCATCCTCCAAGCATACTGTCAGCCCCATTACAGAGATAAGGAAAACTGAGTCTCAGATTTTCCAGAAATGATTTTCACAATATCCCAGAGAAACTGGATTGGAACATGAGGCTAACTTTCTCACTGCATCACCAAATACACTAAGGATAAGAAAAGCCCTGCGTCACCATGGAATTACCTGTAGGTCACCAATGCTGTCATTTTACAACTTGAACTTGGCCAGTTCCGGATGGCTGCATGCTACACCAAAGAAAGAGAAAGACACTAAGCCTTTTTTTAAGAATTATTTTATTTAGTTATTTATTTAAATTTGATCAGAGAGGAAAAGAGGATGGGGGCAAGAAAGCAAGCTGCCAGGCCAGAACTCGAACTGTGTTTGGTCATATGGAAGTCCAACACCCTCAACCACCATGCCACCTGCCGGCTCCTAGAAACTTAAGATTTTAGGATTGCGGATCAGCAGTTAGCGTAATGGCTATGTCGCTGGACTCCCACATAGTCGACTACGGTTCGAGTCCCGGACCCAGTGGCTTAAACTCATGCCGGGCACGTGTGCGTGTGTGCCCGAGATCCCGAGAGTAGAATGGAGGAGAAGGGATTGCAGCGTGGCCATCTCCCCTGGGGGGTGATTTCTCCCATTCTATTTCTCTGTCTTTCTGTCTGCCTGGCGAGCTCACGTGCCCTAAAAAAAGATTTTAGGATTGCATCTCATCATTTAAAAAGACTATTTGCGGCCAGAAGCTGGCGTGGTGGTTAAGGTGCTAGATTCTCACATGGCCAACCATGGTCTGAGTCCTGGACCTGTTGGCTTGCTTTTTCACTTTCTCTCTCTTTATCTCTCTGAGAAGTGTATATGCCCCATAGCAAACTTATAAAAAATACTACTAAATAAATAAATAAATAAATAAAATACTACTAATAATAAGTAAATAATTATTTTAAAAAAATAAATAAAAATAAATCTACATTAGTCTACATTTCTGCTATTTCTGAAAACTGATTAAGATTTTTTATCTGTTTGTTTTAAAAGTCTTTTGCCATTGGGCATATATGCTTGCCAGAGGGAAGGAAAATGAGAAATCACCCCCGGAGGGGTGGGTGAAAATCCCTTCTCCTCTTGGGATTTTGGACGTGAATATACATGTGCCTGGCGTAAATTCCCAGTTGTCTGATCCAGGGCCCAAACTGCGATTAACTATGCCTTTACCATGCCACCTACTGGCCCCAAAAATAAAAATCATAAAATGTCAAAAATTTTTTCTTTGGGACCAGCAGTTTGTGTAATGGCTATGTTGCTGGACTCCCATGTAGTTGACCAGGGTTCATGTCCTGGACCCGGTGGCTTACACTCAGACTGGGTGCGTGTGCATGTGTGCCCAAGATCCCGAGAGGAGAATGGATTGCAGCGTGGCCATCCCCTCTGGGGGGTGATTTCTTGCTTTCTATCTCTCTGTTTCTCTCTGTCTGTCTGGAGAACACACGCGCCCTATAGCAAAAACCTCTCCAAAAAAAAGAAAAAAAATTTTTTTCTTTGTGGGGACCAGCGGACAGAGTGATGGTTACATCATGGGACTCCCACATAGTCAACCACAGTTTGAGTCCTGGACTCAATGGCTTCAAGCTCATGCTGGACGCATGTGAGTACGTGCCCAAAATCCCAAGAGGAGAATGAAGAAGGGACAGCAGCCTGGTGACACCCTCACCAGGTGATTTCTCACTTTCTGTCTCTGTTTCTCTCTCTCCAGGGAGTGCACGTGCCTATAGCAAAAAATATATATATTTTTTTCTTTCCAACGGGCTTTTTTTTTTTTTTTTTGAGAAGTTTTTAATATAGGGCACGTGCACTCTCCAGAAAGACAGAGAGACAGAAAGCGAGAAATCCACTCCCAGGGGGAACGGCCACACCACAATCCCTTCTCCTCCATTCTCCTCTTGGGATCTTGGGCACGCACGCACATGTGCCCGGCATGAGTTTAAGCCACCAGATCTGGGGCTCAAACCAGTCAACTACATGGGAGTCCAGCGACATAGCCATTACGCCAACTGAAAAATATTTCAAAACTAAAATTTGATACCAATCATTTAATCAACTAAATGTGAAAATCATATAAAGGTCTTTTCAAACAGGTAAGCATCTACTCCTAGGAAGTAGCTGGGGGATATGATTGAACAAAACGAGATTAAAATGAGAAACAGGGGCCAATGCTACAACACAGTGGTAACACACTGCTTAAAGAGAAGCCAGATCTCACATGACAACTGTGCTGAAATCCCTGCCTGGTCAGCCCAAACATGCTGGGCATGTGTGCAAGTGCCCCACGTCTGACAAGCTAGAAGACGGGAAGATGGGTAACACTATGTAACCAGGTCCATGGAAGGCGCTCAACTCTCTCTCTCTGACATACACACACTCTTTATTAAGAATAGAGGAAAAATAAACAATCTAAACAAGAAATAGGAAGGTATGAAGGCACTCTAGGAACATGAGCTGCAAAGGGGAGACCAGCAAATGGCATAATAGTTACATCACTGGACTCCCATGTAGTCGACAGTGGTTTGAGTCCTGGACCCACCAGCTTAAAACACACTGTGCAGGACCCAGCAGTTAGCGTAATGGCTATGTCACTGGACTCCCACGTAGTCAACTGCGGTTCAAGTCCCGGACCCAGTGGCTTAGACTCACACCGGGCGCATGTGTGTGAGTGCCCAAGATCCCGAGAGGAGGATGGAGGAGAAGGGATTGCAGTGTGGCCATTCCCCCTGGGGGGTGATTTCTCGCTTTCTATCTCTCTGTCTCTCTCTGTCTGTCTGGCGAGCGCATGCGCCCTATAGCAAAAACCTCTCCAAAAAAGAAACCCAAAACAAAAAACAACAACAACAACAAAAAAACACTGTGCACACGTGTGTGCATGTCCAAAATCCAGAGGGGAGAATGGAACAGAACGGACTGCAGTGTGACCAGTTTCCCTCGGGGGTGATTTCTTGCTTTTTGCCTGTCTCTGTCTTTCTGGCGAGCACAAGCATCCTATAGCAAAAATCTAAAAAAGAAAGATGCAAAGGATTATAGTGATGTTAAACCCTGGGATGACAGTGGTATACAAAGCAAGCAGACCAGATACAAGAAACAAGGTTCTGGGGGGAAAAAATCTCCCAGGTGAAGTGGAAAGAATATGAAGGAAAAGGTGAGCCTAGAGACAACAACAAAAAAAAGAGTCTTCATTTCTCAGAGTGGGATAATGAATTGATCGACGATGCCTAACACTGCAAAGTCAAGACTAATAACATAAATGCAGAGATATGGAAGTAAATACCCAAAGAATTTTACATATATATATATTTTTTAAAGAGGTTTTTGCTATAGGGCTTTTTTTTGTTTTTTTTTTTGAGAGATTTTTCGCTATAGGGCACGTGCGCTTGCCAGACAGACAGACAGAAAGCAAGAAATCACCCCCCACGGGGGATGGTCATGTCACAATCCCTTCTCCATTCTCCTCTCGGGATCTTGGGCACGCACGCACACGCCTGGCGTGAGTTTTAAGCCACCGGGTCCGGGACGTAAACCGCGGTCGACTACGTGGGAGTCCAGTGACATAGCCATTATGCTAAATGCTGGTTCCCTAGGGCATTTGTGCTCATCGGAGAGACAGAGAGACAGTGAGAGGGAAAGTGAGAAATCACCCCCTGGGGGGATGGCCATGCTGCAAGCCCTTCTCCTGGGATTTTGGGGACACATGCACATGTGCATGGTGTGATTTTAAAGCCACTGGGTCTGGGATTCGAACTGCAGTTGGCCAAGTGGAAGTCCAGCAATATAACCACTATGCCATCTGGCACCAGAAATCTATTTTTATAAATGCTCAAGTCATATACAACTGTCTGTATGTATAGTTTTTTGTTTGTTCGTTTGTTTGGTTTTTTGGAGAGAGAGATTTTTTGCTATAGGGTGTGGGCACTCCCTGGAGAGACAGAGATACAAAAAGTGAGAAATCACTCCCCAGGGGGAAAAGGCCACATCGCAATCCCTTCTCCATTCTCCTCTCAGGATCTTGGGAACATCCACACACGTGCCCAATGTGTTTTAAGCCAGCAGGTCTGGGACTTGAACCATGATCAACTATGTCCAGCAACATAATCATTAAGCCATCTGCTGGTCCTTCATGTGTAGCTTTTATAAAAGGAAAACATTTGAAGGAATATAACAAAATGTCAATGAGGATTGGCTTTGGGTAGCAAGCTATGGACAAGTAAGTTACACTTCTTTTTTCCTATTTTTCTCTATTTTCTCCATTCTCTACAATGATCACATAAAAGAGATCTAGAATTCTGATAATCTACAAAACTAAGCTTTCTTCAAGAAGAGATTAATCTGGGGCTCAACTCTATGATGCAATCAATATCACGCTAGACTGCAGAACTGGAAGCCACATGCTACCTGCTGCTTGAGTCCCTGGCCTACACGGCCTGAAAAAAACACTTATGCATGTGCAAATATCCAGGATCCTGACTGGCTGGATGTCTGGACAAAGAAGATTATGGCCTGACTGGGCTCCATTGAAGGTGCTTTTATTTCTCTCTCATGCACACAAATGTTCCGTCATTAATTTAAAAGAAAAGAAAAAAAAAAAGAAAGAGAGGCCAAGAGGTTACCCTGGATTGTATAATGAAGAATGGTTTTAGGACCAGCAGTTGGCGTAATGGCTATGCTGCTAGACTCCCACGTAAACAACTGCAGTTCGAGTCCCGGACGGTGGCTTAAACTCACGCCAGGCGCGTGTGCGTGCATGTCCAAGATCCCGAGAAGAGAATGTATTGCAGTGTGGACATCCCCCGCCCCCACCCCGGGGAGTGATTTCTTGCTTTCTGTCTCTCTCTTTCGGGCAAGTGCAGGTACCCTATAGCAAAAACCTCTCCAAAAAATAGAGAAAAAAGAATGGTCTTTGTACCAGATCTTGGAGAAGAGTACGCCTCTGGAGGTCTCGGGATATCCAGCGCTCTCTGTCAGATGTCAGGTGGGCTATGACACCTGCAGCAAAGTAGCTGACTTCCATTTCCTTGCTATGGAGCAAACTGCTGATGTGCCTCATCATGTCTTCGGTCACCAACCTGGAGGAGAACTCTCTGACTTCAGCTATGTTGTTCTATAGTTCAGGTAGAGGAGAAAACGTCAGGGACAGAAAAGGAGGAGAAAATCAGGAACTAGCCCTTCTCCCATTCCTATGGCTCAGCCCCAATACATTCAGAACATTTACTCCCACTCCCTTAGCTTCCCAACACCCACGGTCCCACCCCGTGATGAAGAGGGTCATTAATGAGGAACCATGAAGTAAGCACTCACTAAGTGCCAGGCACGGTACTGGATTAATACCAATGTCTGTGTTTTATCTCACTTAATCTTTAAAATAACCCTACAAAAAACCTGGTGCCCAGCAAGACTGAAACTGTCAGGTTCACATTGCTCATAACTGGTTGAACTAGAATATAATTTGAGCCTGACTCAAATAGTTAACATTATGAGAGGGCCAGCTACTAAATGCTACATTATGTTCAACTTTTAACAGTAATAATAAAAGGCAGGTAGTATTTTATTTTATAAACTCCCTGGTTTTCTACGCTGTGTAACACATTACCTCAAACTTAGAGGCTGAAATGGTATGCATTTATTAATAAAGCCAACTGGTAACACAGTGGTGAAGGTGGCTGGTCAACTGTGTGGTTCAAGTCCCCCAGCCAGTGGTTTGAAAAACAGTCCAAGCACAGGTGCATACCCACCCAAAATCCCAAAAGGAAGAAGAAATGAAAGGGAAGGGCATGCAGCATGGCCATCCTCCATGAGGGATGCTTTCTCAGTTTTCCTCTCATAAGCACAAATACCCTTTAACAAAACTTATACACATACACACACACACACACACACACACACACACACAATCAAGAAAAATATACATTTACTATCTCACAACTTTTGTGGGTCAGGACTGTAGGCATGATCTGGCTAGGTTCTCTATGCTGACAGCGTTGGCTGGGCTACATCATCCCCTGGAGGTTCCACTAGGGGAAGCTGACTTCCTCGCTCATTCAGACTGCTGGCAGTATCCAGTTCCTATGGCCACAGGACTGAGTGACCGAGTTTCTAGCTGGAGGCCACCTTAAGCTCCTAGATGCCAACCAAAGTCCCTTTAACTGGGGATTCTCCTTTCAACTACTTTCCTCATGCCGCTTTACTCCATTACAGCCAGTGAGGAAATACCCTACGATCTGTTTATAAGACATTTTCATGTGTTCTATAACACAATCACAGAAGGAACTTCCTGACATGACCACCATATATGGTTAGGAGCAAGTACCAGGTCATGTCCACACTCAAGTGAAGGGGATCATACAAAGACACAAAGGCCAGAATTTGGAATAGGGCAGGAGCATGGGTCAGTGTCACCTTAGGGCCTCTCTACACAAATGAAAAAAAATGATGGTATAAAAAAGTGAAACAGGGGCCAGCAGGTGGCATGGAGGTTAAGGGGCTTGATCCCATATAGCCAACTGTGTGATTTGTGTACTGGACCCAGCAGCTTGAACATCATGCTGGGGACCAGCAGATGGCATAATGGTTATGTTGCTGGACTCCCATGTAGTTGACTGCGGTTCGAGTCCCACCTGGCAACTTGAAATTCATAACGGGCTCATATGCGTGCATGCCCAAAACTCCAAGAGGAGACTGGAAAAGAAAAGGATTGTGGCATGAAATTTTTCCCCTGAGAGGAGGGTGACATCTGTCTCTCTGGCAAGCACACATGCCCTATAGCAAAAAATCTCTCAAAAAAACAAAAACATAAAAATGGACCAGTAGCTGGCATAATGTTATGTCGCTGGACTCCCACATAGTTGATTGTAGGTCGAGTCCCGGCCTGGCAGCTTAAAACTCACGCCAGGTGCATGTGTGTGTGCATGCCCAAGATACTGAGAGAAGACTGGAGAAGGGATTGTGGCATGGCCATCCCCCCTCGGATGTGATTTCTCACATTCTCTCTCTGCCTCTTCAGGGTGCACACATGTGTACAGCAAAAATCTCTTTCAAAACAAAAATCATGCACATGTACGTGCATGTCCAAAATACCAAGAGAAGAATGGAAGAGAAGGGATTGCAGTGTGGCCATCTCCCCTGTGGGGGTGATTTCTCATTTTCCTTCCATCTTTGTCTCCCTTATGTGCACACACCCTATGGCAAGCCTCTCCACAAACAAAAAAACTGGCCACCTTGATAAAGAGGAAGTATAGTAAAGCAGTTAATAGCAGAGGGAGCCCAACTGCATTTGAGATTTGATTTTGCCTCGTACGACCTAGGCTAAGTAGGATAAATGGCACATATGGCCTCAGGTTCAGTATCTACAAAATGCAGACAGCAGTATGTAGCAGAGTACAAACGTAACACAGTGCTTCCTCTCCTGGCATGCACATACTCCTTAGCAATTTCACTTTGCTGCTTCTCCCATCGAAGGATGGCCACCTTAATCTAAGCTTCACCATGTAAACCTCTTTGGCCAATGAGAAATAAGCAAATGTGACATAAAAAGAGGTTTAAAAAGCACTTGTACAGAGAGCCTTGTCCTCTGCTGCTGCCCTGAGATTGCCATGTGAAGACGCCCAGAGACACTAGGCCCAGCTAATACCAGCACTGTCAGCCAGAATTGGGCTATCTTAGATCATCCAGTCCCAGCAGAGCCACCAGAAGACAGCAGTGACATGAGAACCTCATAGACTAGCAGAAGAAGTGCACAACTAACTCACAGTGCTGACCCATGGGTTTATAAGTAAATAAGATAGCCATTGTTTTAAGCCACCAATTAGTATATTCACAACAACAGGTAACAGATACACAATGGTATGTGCAGAGATAATGTGAAATGAGTTTATGCATGTAATTGCTTGCAACAGTGCTTGGCATATAGTGGGTGCTAACTACACAAGTGCTCAGGGGTTTTCTTTTTTCTAGTAATTAAAAAGAATTCAAAATAATGCACCTTACCAAAAGTCCAAGGACTTTGCTTTGTATTGCTGACTCTGAAAAGGTCTGTCAAAAGAATACACAGGTTACCTTCTCATGAATGAAAGAACTTTCTGTACACGTTAACCAGTTCTTTCTTCTCACCTCCAAGACTTGGATGAAGATCGCCAGTCCTTGGTTTTCAATGAAGTGCTTGCAGGCGGCTGGAGACTCATCTGTTAGATTCCAAAGTGCTTTCAAAGTAAACAAAAGGGTGACATCATCTAAGTTCTCAGCAGTCTTTTGTTTTATTATTGCTAGAAGTTCCTGAAAATCAAAGAGATTGAGGATTAGATGCCTAATGACTGACTCAATTTCAGTCTAAGAAAAGCAATGTTAAGAGCTTCAAAATCAAACTGAGTTCGAAAACCAAGTTCTACCACTTAATAGTTTTGTGATTTATATCCTATAAAATAAGTTATACCTACCTCTTATACTTTTGTTTTGTTAGGTTTTTGCCACAGGGCACGTGTGCTCGCCAGAGAGAGATGGAGACAGTGAGAATTCACCCCCTCCAGCAGAGATGGCCATGCCTCAGTTCCTTCTCCATTCTCTCAGGATTTGGCGCATGCACGCAGATGCCTGGTGTGATTTTTCAAGCCATCAGGTCTGAGATTTGAAATACAGTCGGCCATGTGGGAGTCCCAACACCTTAACCACCACACCGCCTGCTGGCCCCGTATCCTCATTTTTGCTTAGCTGGCTTATGTCCTTTTCCTTCTGGTCTCAGTTTACAAATTACCTCTGCATGAGATCTTCTCTCCCCAAACCTTTCTAAATTTTTAGGTTTTTATGGGTTTCTTTCAGAGTATCTACAAATCAAATGTAAACATTCTTTGTTTATGTAAAAAAACCTAAACGTAAACATTCTTTATGTTAAAAAAACCCTATTTTCATAATTATATAATTTTATTTATTACTATGTTTTGTTGTTGTTGTTTTTGTAATTTGCTATGAGGCATGTGTGCTCACCAAAGAGAAAGAGAGTGAGAGTAGGCTGCCAAGTCCAGGACTTGAACCACAGTAGGCAATGTGGGATTCCAGCACCTCAACCACTACACCACCTGCTGTCCTCTTAAAACCAACTTTACATTTATTTGCCTCTTCTACCTGAATGACTTAAGAAGGTGTGAACTCAACATGCTGATAAGTAAATAAGGGATAGCTAATAGGTGCTTGGGTATGGACTTTATTACCAAATACCAGGAACTGGATGAAATGCTCATTGAACTTTATTTCTTTTGCATTTGTTTTTTTCATCTAATCATCATAAAAACTCTTTAAAAAGGGAGGTGGGGCTGGCAAGTGATGTGGTGGTTAAAGGAGCTGGACTTCCACACGACCGACTGTAGTTCAAGTCCCGGACCTAGTGGCTTGCCCTCTCTCTATGTCTCTCTCTTCCTCTTTCTGGTCAAAAATTGAAAACAATGATAATAAATAAATAATTATTAAAGGAAAAAAACTGGGACCAGCAGATGGCATAATGGTTATGTGGCTTGACTCCCACATGGCTGATCACAGTTCAAGTCCTGCACCTGGAAGCTTCAAACTCACGCTGGGAAAGTGTGTGTGTGTGTGTGTGTGTGTGTGTGTGTGTGTGTGCTCGAAATCCCTAGAGGAGAATAAAGAAGGGATTGCAGCATGGCCATTCCCCCTGGAGGGATTTCTCACTTTCTGTCACTCTTTCTCTCTCTGTCTCTCTGACAAGCTCATGAGCCCTATAGCAAAAATCTAACAACAACAGAAAAAACTACATTCATAGATTACTTTGATTTTTCAAAAAGGGTCATAAAAAAGTGACAATCAACCTACCTTAACAGCCATGACGAGCTCTTCTTCAAGTTGTGCTGTTTGCTCAGGTGAGAGCTGTAAGCAAACAGAAAGTCGAAAGGCTCTATGAAGACTCAGGAGGCCCAGCCACAGTGGCTCAGGCAGAAGCACACTGCTGCATTTCGGAGGTAATAAGGGAAATCTGGGTTTAATTCCCAGCCTGACCTAGACAGGATGAGGGGGTTCTAGCTAATTGGGTAAGGGTGGGAAAAGAGGATCACAAAACTACCAACCCCGCCCCCATCACGGCCACCATTCAAAAAAAAAGACTAGGGAGAGGAATCTTGCCTGTAAGCAATCACATACTTGCAAGGCTAGGATAGAGAGGACGCTCACTGCCATCGTTTGCATCTTGGGGTTCTCCTGCTTACAGAGCCACCTCATAACAAACTTGGCAGCATCAAACCTGAAAAGTAGTATTTAAGCAGTATTTAGTTTCCTTTTTTTAAAAAAAGAATTATTTTATTTTAACTTTACTTATGAGTACTGTTACTTTCCAGTTTGATCAGACAGAGAGAGAGAGGGAAAGTGAGAAAGCAAGCCACCAGATTCACAACTTAAATCACATTTGGCCATGTGGGAGTCCAGCGCCTTTAACCACACCACCTGCCGGCCCTAGCAGTATTTAGTTTTCTCACAATTACATAAAGTTTTTTTTTTCCTCTTTTTTTTGGGGGGGAGAGGTTTTTGGTATAGGGTGCGTGCACTCGCCAGGAATACTGAGAGAGATAGAGACAGAAAGTGAGAAATCACCCCCTGGGGGAATGGCCATGGCGCAATCCCTTCTCCTCCATTCTCCTCTTGGGATCTTGGGCACGCACACACAAGCTCCTGGCATCAGTTTGAGCCACCGGGTCTGGGACTCGAACCACAATCAACTACATGGGAATCCAGCGACACAGTCATTATGCCAACTGCAGGTCCCACAATTAGATAAAGCTTTCAAAACTGAGGATGGAGAGAAGAGAAATCAAAAGCCCCCACAACAAATCTGTAATAAATACCTTGGAGCTTTGAAAAACCTAAGCAATGAAAATCAGGAGTATTTGGCAGAGAGAGAAGACCAGGAGGGGAACAGGAGAGACTGCAAATAAAGTCAGCAAAATGTACAAAATGAGGAGACCTAAGAAAAGCTAGGGCTAGTCCATAGCATGGCGCAGAAAGGATTACAGGGGCCGGCAGGTGGCATGTTGGTTAAGGTGCTGGAATCTCATATGGCAGACCATGGTTCAAGTCCCAGACCTGGTGGCTTGCTTTCTCACTTTCCCTCTCTCTCTCTCATCAAAATTAAAAAATAATAATAATAAATATTAAAAAAAGAAAAAGAGGGGGACCATCAGGTGGTAATAGCATGGCGCAGAAAGGATTACAGGGGCCGGCAGGTGGCATGTTGGTTAAGGTGCTGGAATCTCATATGGCAGACCATGGTTCAAGTCCCAGACCTGGTGGCTTGCTTTCTCACTTTCCCTCTCTCTCTCTCATCAAAATTAAAAAATAATAATAATAAATATTAAAAAAAGAAAAAGAGGGGGACCATCAGGTGGTATGGTGGTGGAGGCGCTAGACACTCCTACATGGCCAACCACAGTTCAAGTCCCAGACCTCGTGGCCTGCTGTCTCACTTTCCCTCTCCCTCTCTGTGTCTCTCTCTGGTCAAATTAAAATAAGCAAATAAATGAATAAATAAAATGAAATAATTCTTTAAAAAAAAAAAAGAAAACAAAAGAAAGCAGGATTACATACAGTCAACCATGGTTCGAATCCCAGCCTCAGAGGCTTCAAAAACATGCTGGGTGCATGTACATATGCAAACTAAACCCTAATAGGATAGACAGACAGAGGAAAGGAGACTGCATTGTGACCATTACCCATTGGGGGGTGCTTTCTCTCTTTCTCTGGCAAATGAGCTCCAAATAGTTTTTTAAAAATTATTTTATTTTATTTATTCATTTATTTATTTTAATTTGACCATGATTCTTTCTCCACTCTCCTTTCTGGATTTTGGGCACTTATGCACACGCGCCCAGCTTGTTTTAAGCTGCTGGGTCCGGGACTCAAACTGCAGTCAACTACATGGGAGTCCAGTGATGTAACCATTACACCATCTACTGATCCCAATTTAAATGTTTTTAAACTCCAGAGTCTGGAAGATTACAATGACATCTAGGACAACAATGACAGTGATCTTTAAAAAACTATTATTTAATAAATAGCAAATAAATAATAAGAAGAATGACTAGTATTCTTTACAACAGCCAGTACTTTGGGCCAGCGAAGTGGTTAAGGTGACTGGGTCCCACATGGCCAACTGTATGGTTTGAGTACCAGATCTACTGGATTGAAAAATCATGCCAGGGACCAGCAAATAGCGTAATGGTTATGTTCTTGTACTCTCACATAGTTGACCACAGTTCAAGTCCTGGACCCCACAACCTGAAACTCGTGCCGGGTGCATATGCACGTATGCCCAAGATCCTGAGAGAGGAATGGAGAAGGGATTGTGGCATGGTCATCCCCCCAGGGGGTAGTTTCTCTCTTTCTGTCTCTCTGTGTGTCTCTGGTGAGTGCAAGCGCCCTAAAGAAAAAAAAAAAACCTCTCAAAACAAAAAAATAGAAAAATCACACTGGGCACAGGTGTGTGCATGCCCAAAATCCCTAGAGGAGAAATGGCAGAGGGACTACAGCATGGCCATCTGCCCTGGGTTGGCGAGGTGATTTCTCACTTTCCCTCTCTGTCCTTCTTCAGCAAGCACATGCACCCTACAGCAAAACTAAAGAAGGAAAACAGCCAGCTAGTACTTCTTACACTAGGCACCATTATGAGTACTTTATAAACATTCCATACCTAACTTTCATAAAAGTCACCATTTTGCACAGTGTGCTTAAGGGATTTTAGGCACAAAGATAAAAAAAAAAAGGTTAGAGCTTAAGACCATGTCTACTGAACGCTCTGGAGTCTGTGTTCTCACCGACTGCTGCCTGTAGTGGCATCACTTTGGAAGACACATTTGCAGCCAGGTACTTCTAGTCACCTTGCCATAGATGAGGCTCGACAGAGCCTTCTTCCCACATAATTCACCGCAGCTCACTTCGGGCCCTGGCTACTCGGTAATGACAAAAGGCTTAGTGCAGCTGTGGCCAACACCACAATGAGAAGACCAAGTTCTATACTTGCCTGTCAAATGGAACATCCACAAGAATCCTGGAATTGGTTAAGGAGAGAAGACAATTCTTCTGTAACTTTTAGGGAATAAAGAAAAATAATTTTAAGCAAAAGTAATAATCCACTCTAAATCAAAGTTCTAAGCACAAGGATGATGCTTTTCTGAGAGCTCACTGTACACCTGCCCTCTACAAATTGTCACAGAATCCTACAACTGATGTTTGCCATGCTGAAACAAAGACCAAGCTGAGCAAGATCTTCCAATTTTTCAAAAGACAGAAATATTTTGTTTGATGAGGAAGACCACTATATATATATAAATAGATATATGAGATTTTTGCTATAGGGCCTTTGTGCTCACCGGAGAGAGAGGCAGAAAACAAGAAATCACCCCCGGGGGGATGACCATACCCAATCCCTTACCTTCAGTCTCCCCCTGGGATTTTGGACATGTACATATACATGCCCAGTGTGAGTTTCAAGCAGCAGAGCCTGGGACTCAAACCATGATCAGCCATGTGGGAGTCCAGCGCCTGAACCACATGCCACTTGCCGTCCCCTTTTAATGTATTTTTAAAAGTCAGAAATCACCCCCGGGGGGATGACCATACCCAATCCCTTACCTTCAGTCTCCCCCTGGGATTTTGGACATGTACATATACATGCCCAGTGTGAGTTTCAAGCAGCAGAGCCTGGGACTCAAACCATGATCAGCCATGTGGGAGTCCAGCGCCTGAACCACATGCCACTTGCCGTCCCCTTTTAATGTATTTTTAAAAGTCAAATGCCGGGACCAGCAGGTGGCATGGTGGTTAAGATGCTGGACACTCCCACATGGCCGACTGCGGTTCGAGTACCGGACCTGGTGGCTTGCTTTTTCACTTTCCCTCTCTCTCTCTCTGTGTATCTCTCTCTGGTCAAATTAAAATAAATGAATGAATAAATAAAATTAAATAAACAATTATTAAAAAAAAAAAAAGTCTAATGCAAGGCTGGGGGCAGCAGGTGGCATGGTGGCTAAGGGGGCTGGACTCCCATATGGCCAACTGCGGTTCGAGTCTCTGACCTGGTGGCTTGGTTTCTCACTTTCTCTCTCTCCCCCTCTCTCTCTCTGATCAAATTAAAATAAAGCAAGAAAGAAAGTGGAATAAAATAACTCTTTTACAAAAATAAAATCAAATGCCAGTCTGGCTTTACAGCACAGCAGTAATGTGCTCAAGACAACTAGGCCCCACATGGCAACTGCAGTTCAAATCCTGGCCAGTCAGTCTAAACACACCAGGTGTGTACATGAGTGCCCAAGAACTGAGGGCCTGGACGAGCGCAGAGAGGGGTTCACAGCATAACCAGACCTTGTGGAGGATGATCACATCCTCCCTCTCTCTCACATGGCACATGGACACTCCATCATAAACTAAGGGAAGAAAAGTTCTACATGCAAAAATGTTAAAAAAAAAAAAAAATCCTACTATGAACATTTCTGTATCAGTCTTTGTACGGATATGTTTTTGCTTCTCTTCGGTAAATGCCTAGGGATAAAATGACTGGGTAGTACAGAAAGTATATGTATTTTTAACTTATTACTATACATATATATAAAACACATATTCTATACAAATATATAAAATTTATAAACCCACTGACATACAAATTTGTAAATTTTTGTACTTATGAACTTTATAGAGTGATCTGTGTATTTAAAAAATATTTTTATTTAATCACTAGTCATCTTTACAGTGTACATATTTTTCCCAGTATGAATACAGTGTATATTAATCAAGTCAAAAACATTACTATATACATTATCAACAGATTAATTTTCAGTTTTGTGTCTATTAAATTTTTTTTTTCCTTGATCCCCTCCCTCCCACCTCCCAGAAAATATGTATTTAACTTAAAGAAACTACCAAACTGGTAATGTATCATTTCACTTTTTACCATCAATATGAGGATTTTGGTCACTCCATGCCCTGCCCAAACTTGATATTATCAGTTTCAATTTCTAAGAGATGTGTTTTGGCATTAAGGAATTCAGTGAAATCTCTTTTGATTTTATTTTTAGAGATTTTTGCTATAGGGTGTATGTGCTCACCAGAGAGACAGAAGAGACACAGACAGAATGTGAGAAATCACCCCCGAGGGGGTGGGGTGGCCACATCGAAATTCCTTCTCCTTCATTCTCCTCTTGGCATTTCGGGCATGCACAGTGTGAGTTCTGAGCCACTAGGTCTACCAAGACTTGAACTGCAGTCAATTATATGGAAGTCTAGCATCGTAACCATTATGCCATCTGCTGGTCTCTCTCTTACTGATTATAATTTATACTTTTCTAATAACTATTAGGTTGTAGATAATTCATTAGTTATTTTTCTATGCAAAAATGTGTGGTTACTTTCCCAACAACCCAATTAATATGCAGATTATCTTTTTATTTATTAAATTTTATTCATCATTATTATTTATTTTCATGCTCACCAGAAAGAGACATAAAGACAGAGGGAAAGTGAGAAAGCAAGTCACCAGGTCTGGGACTCGAACCACAGTCAGCCATGTGGGAGTCCAGCACCACTATGCCACTTGCTGGCTCCACTGAAGTATCTTTTCATGAGGTCATTTGTCATCTGCATATCCTCTTTGGTGAAAAATCTGTTCAATCTTTTGATATTTTTATAACTGGTTTGTTTGCCTTGTATTACCAAATTGAATTTTTATATATTCTGGATAAAAGTTCTTTGTCAAATGCAAAGGGTTTTCATAAAGTTCATGGAAAATGCATATCAAGTGAGAGAAAAAAAAAACTATGTATAGATTTGTACCAAAATAAACTCATACTTTAATTGAATTTTTCCATGAAGTCCCTTCTTAAAGTTTCCTTGTACATAAAATGAACCTCCCTGAGCATGCTAGGCACAAGCATGTCCCGGGCGGGGAGGACTGCAGCATGGAGACACTGCTGGGGGTGCACATCTCCCCTTTCTCTCAGAGAGAAAAAAGAAACTTAAACATAAAGCACAATCAGGGGCCGGCAGGTAGTGTGCTGGTTAAAGGCACTGGACTCCCACATGGCCAACTGCGGTTCGAGTCCTGAACCTGGCAGCCTGCTTTCTCACTTTCCCTTTCTGTCAGTCTGTCTCTGGTCAAATTAAAAAAATAACAACAAATGAACTAATTAAATAAATAATTCTAAAAATAAAGCACAATCAAACGTTCAATTCAAATTACCTGCTGATAATGGGGGAAATTTTTCAGAGCCTTGAAAAGTAGACAGGTGACCTCTGACAAGAGACGAACAGGCATGCCCCTGGCCAGTCCCTGACGTGTTAGGTTGAGGGCGCAAGCACTGGCTGTGAACTGCACTGGCAAATCCAATGGATGATTCCTCATTCCTATAGCCACAAGCTGAAGATGAATATGCTTTTAGTGGCATACGGCAATGTTAACATTCTTTATACTGTCTGTGCTCACTGGGACGATAAGACTTCTCTGTTTTCATTACTCTGTACAACATGAAGGTATTTAATCTAAATGCAGCCACGAACTAACTTTGCACAAGCCACTTCCCATCTCTGGACCTCCATTTCCTCATCTGTAAAATTAATTCCATAATCCCTCACTGAGACTTACTCCATTCAACATATTGTTACAGGCATTGCAGGAGACAAGAATATGATTTAAATGGGGACCAGCAAGTGACGTGGTAGTTAAAGTGCTGGACCCTTCCATGTGGCTGACCATGGTTCGAGTCCTGGACCTGGTGGCTTGCTTTCTCACTTTCCCTCTCTTTCTCTCTGTCTCTCTTTGGTCAAATTAAAATAAATAAATGATAAAAAAAAAAAAGAATATGATTTAAATATATTCTTTAGCATAAACCCTTGGAGAGAGGGCATATAAACAATTGAGACTGCAAGTAATGCCAAAACATGAAACTGAAAAAGCAACAGAGAAAATGGTGCCTAAGGTAGTTAAAAAGGGAGCAACCATTTCTGGAAGGGAATTCGAGGCCAGCTAGTGTGTGGACGTTAGGGCAGCTGGATCCCACATGGCCAACTACACACTTCAAGTCCTGGAGCCAGCAGCTTGAAAAACACACTGTGGGGCCTGCAAATGGCGTGATGGTTAAGGGCGCTGGACCATCACATGGCCGACTGCAGTTCAAGTCCTGGACCTAGTGGGTTGCTTTCTCTCTCTCTCTCTCTCTCTCTCTCTCTGGTCAAATTAAAATAAATAAAGTTAAATAAAATAATCCTTTAAAAAAAAGAAAGAAGGAAAGAAAAACACACGGGGTGCATGTTCATGTGTACCCAAAATCCCGAAAGGAGGATGGAGAAGCGACTGCAGCATGTCCATCCCTGCTTGGGGATGATTTCTCAATTTTTCTCTATCTCTCTGTCTCTTTCCTCTCTGGCCAGCACAAACACTCTGTGGCAAAAACCTAAAAATAAATAAATAAACAAATAAATGAAGAAATAAGAAACAACCTTTAGGGCAAAATGAATTCATGTTACAGATTGAGCATACCAAATCCAAAATGTTCCAAAATTCAAAATATTTTGAGCATGGACTTGATACTAAAAGAGGAAAATTCCACCCCTGACCTCATGGGACAAGTCACAATCAAAACACTACAATACAGGGGTCAGCAGGTGGCATGGTAGTATGCACTGGACTCCCACGTGGCAGACTGTGGTTAGAGTCCTGGACCTGGTGGCTTGCTTTCTCCCTCTCTGTCTTTCTCTGGCAAAATTCATGTGAAAAAAAAAATAATAATAATATAAATAAATAAATCTTTTAAAAAAAACCTCTACAATACAAAAATATCGTGTAAATTATCTTCAGGCTGGATGTAAGCCATAAATGAATTTCATGTTTAGACTTGAGTCTCATTCCCAAGATTATTACATTATGGATATGCAAATATTCCAGAATACAAAAAAATCCAAAATCCGGAACACTTCCAGTCCCAAGCATTTCAGGTAAGGGATATTCAATCTGTACCAGATTAGTAAATCCTATTTTAGGCAAAATAGTGCAACGGTTCTATTATCCTCTTAGTCAGATCCCATTTTACTATTTCCTATTCACTATTTTCTATTTACTATTCAAATTTATTCCATATAAATTCAGGTGCTCAAACTAAGACACAACTTGGCAGTTAAGTCTAACACTGCTTTTGTTCTCCACGAGAACACTTGACTCAGTTCAGAGTAAGGCATGTTACTATAGTGTTTAGTGAAAAACTCTTCATTGAACCAAGTGAGAAGTAATAACAGAAACTGCCTTCCTAAGGTTCTGTTACCTTTAAAATAGCAGGCATGGTTATCTGCACTGAGAATGTCTCTGTGAAGAGCCTGCAGAGGGCTTCCTTCACAAAACACGACCTATTCCTGTATCGACTCAGTGCTTCTGAAATCTGACTGATATTGGCTCCTCCAGCAACCTGAAAAACAAAGATGTTACCAGTAGGTTTCACTGCTCATCTATGAGAACAGGCTTTTTGGGGCCTTAAGTTGACAGAGGGGGCTTTTTGTTATCATCTGAAACAATAATCGTAAATGTTCGACTGAGTGCTTCGGGTGCTTTAGAAGTTCTTATTTCATCATCATTCTCATCGATGATAGTTCTCATCGACCTCATGGATGGGTGCAGAGACGTGAACTATGCTGTTTAATGCAGCAGCAATTAAGTGGTAAAGTCAGAATCAAATGCACCTCTCTATGTCCACAGTACAACAAAGACCTCATCTGAATAATGGCAACATACAATTTTTTAAACCATTAATCATGAATGTATAAAATTTTTCTAAGTGAGACCAGAAGGTGGCATGGACTCCCACACGGCTGGTAGTAGTTCAAGACCAGGACCCGGTGGCTTGAAAAACACACAGGGCCCATGTATGAGTGTCCAAAATCCTGAAAGGAGAATGGAGAAGGGTTTGCAATGTGGCCTTCCTCCCAGGAGGTGATTTCTCACTTTTCCTCAAACTGGCACACTCATGTGCCCTGTAGCAAAAAAAAAAAAAGAAAGAGAAGAAAAATTAAAAAAACTTTTCTAAGTATGCAAAAAGGATAAATTAAATAATAAAAATAGATAGGAAAAGGCCACATAAAATGGAAAAAAATGGCTTTTTATGTACTACTTATTTCTAATAGTACTGTTAGTACTACTTTTACTTACTATTCATTTAGCATTATAATTCTTCCTTGCTGCTTCTAAAAATGCATCCCAAAAAGTCTATGCACAAGCCTAACCATGATGGCATAAGCCAGAGGAGATGTGGCTGTATGATGGCTGAGACCACATGGGGGTTCTTAGGTGGGGTGAGGTAGCACTCCCCTGCAGTCCTAGCTGGCTGGGATGCCTGGGTAGGTGGACTGCTACATAAGCCCCACCAAAAATATCCATCTCACCTCGTCTCATCTCCATCTGTCCCTGCTCCTGCTCTCTCACTCATACTAAAAGTTTACATAAATATTTTGGGTCTGAATAGGGGAAAAATACACACACACACACATATTATATATATTAAAAACTAGAAAGGGAAAATTATCAACGATAACATGTATGATTAAGCCACTATGCAGAATATTCTGGATGGGAAATCATGTTTTGTATGTCGTGACTATGCTCAGTGAATAAATGTAAAATTAATTAATTAATTAAAAATTGAAATTAAAAAATATTTTGGGCCTGGAGAATAATGGCAATCTTCTGATTTTTAAAAATTTATTCATCTATTTATTTTTTATTTGGTCAGAGAGGGACAGGACAGAGAGAAAGAGAGAGAGAGAGAAGGAAAGTGAGAAAGCAAACCACCAGATCTGGGACCCAAATCATGGTTGGCCATGTGGGAGTCTAGTGCCCTTAACCATCACAATAATATTTTGGGCCTGGAGAATAATGGCAATCTTCTGATTTTTAAAAATTTATTCATCTATTTATTTTTTATTTGGTCAGAGAGGGACAGGACAGAGAGAAAGAGAGAGAGAGAGAAGGAAAGTGAGAAAGCAAACCACCAGATCTGGGACCCAAATCATGGTTGGCCATGTGGGAGTCTGGTGCCCTTAACCATCACAACGCCTGCTGGTCCTGCAGCCTTCTGATTTTGAATCACCTCTACTCCTCCAATCTTCCCATACCCTCTCTCTGAACCTCAAAATCAGTAAGAAATTTAGACCCAGTTCCTGGGTAGTGAAAAGAAAAGGGAATGGGGCAGACAGGACTGAAAATTCTACAAAATGACAAGAGAACTAGAATGAGACATGGCAGCAAATGTGATGCTCTGCAAGGCAATCACACACAGGAAGGCTCCCAGTTCAATTCCAGAACCTCCCTGAGCATATCAGGCATAAACTTCCCTGTGATCCAAGGCTGGCTGAAGCTGAGGGGTGGATCATGGTATCAAGACCCTTCCAAGGTGGGCCGTCAGGTGATAAAGGCACTGGATTCCCATATGGCCAACTGCCATTCGAATACTGGACCTGGCAGCTTGCTTTCTCACTTTCCCTTTCTCTCTCTCTGGTCAAATTATTATATTGTAAATAACTCTTAAAAAAAAGAGAGAGAGAGAGAGAGAGACCAGCAGTTAGCGTCCATAACTGATGGCTTTTAGATTCATTAGAGAGCCAGAAAATTAGAAGGACTTTGAAATACAATGGCTTTTTTCAAATCAAAAGAATAAAATGTGGCATGGCACATGGCACAGCAGGTGGCATGGCAGTTAAGAGTGCTGGTCTCCAAGTGGCAGACCACAGTTCAAGAACTGGACCTGGAGGCTTGCTTTCGGAGAAGGGATTGTGGCGTGGCCATCCCCCCAGGGAGTGATTTCTCGCTTTCTGTCTCTCTGTCTCTGTCTGGCTGGCGAGTGCACGCTCCCTATAGTGAACACCTCTTCAAATAAAAAAGATATTCCAGCAATGTCCCAGATTATGTGTATACCAAGAGTTTATGTTCTAAGATTTTTTTGACCATTGTGGTCTTTTCATCATTATGACATTACATGCCATGAAACCGAAACAGGCCTGGCTGTACTTTCTAGTAAACAAATCTCAACTACACATATTAACCGCTAAAGTTCTGATGTCTTTTGTTCAAGCCATAACTGATGGCTTTTAGATTCATTAGAGAGCCAGAAAATTAGAAGGACTTTGAAATACAATGGCTTTTTTCAAATCAAAAGAATAAAATGTGGCATGGCACATGGCACAGCAGGTGGCATGGCAGTTAAGAGTGCTGGACTCCAAGTGGCAGACCACAGTTCAAGAACTGGACCTGGAGGCTTGCTCTTTCTCACTTTCCCTTTCTCTCTCTCTCTCTCACTCTGTCCCTCTCTGATCTAATTAAAATACATAAATAAAATTATTTTTTTTAAAAAAGAATAAAATGTGAACATTTCATTAATAGCTCACTATTTATTAAATGTTTCTGGAAATCTCTTTAGTCTCTACCCCTTGGCAGAACTACATAATAAATTATAAAGAAAAGGTTCCTTGGGACCAGCAGTTGGTGTAATGGCAATGTCGCTGGACTCCCATGTAGTCCACTGGGGTTCAAGTTCTGAACCCGGTGGCTTAAACTCATGCCGGGTGTGTGTGCATGCGTGCACTGGAGGAGAATAGAGAAGGGATTGCTGGGCATGGGTGATTTCTCGCTTTCTGTCTCTATGTCTCTGTCTGTCTGGTGAGCGCACGCGCCCTATAGTGAAAACACCTCCAAAAAAAAAAAAAAAAAAAAGAAAAGAAAAGAAAAATTCCTTTAAAGCAGTGACTCTGAACCTTGGCTATACATTAGAATTGTGTGGGAATTTTGAAAATCCTGATGACCAGTCTGAGTATCAGACCAATTAAATCAGAATATTTGGAGAATGGGACACAACAGTGTATTTTAAAGCTCCTAAAGTAATTCAATGTAAAACTGATACAAAGGAACCACTGTTTTGTAAAAGATACACTCTGGGCTGGCAGGTAATGTGATGGTTGGGGCACTGGACTCCCATAGGTTGACCACGGTTTGAGTCCCAGACCTGGTGGCATGCTTTCTTGCTCTCTCACTCTCTCACTCTGTTCCTCTCTGATCAAATTAAAAAAAAAAAAAAAAGTAAATAAATTTTTTTTTTTTTTAAAAAGACATACTACTGAACAAATATATTTAAATATAAGGAAACTTCAAAAAGCTCATGAAAAGTGGAATTAAAATACATTTTGGTGGAACCAGCAGATGGCGCAATGATTACGGCACTGGAATCCCACATGTCGATAGCAGCTCAAGAGTCCTGGATCCTGCGGCTTAAACTTCATACTGGGCATGTGTGTGTGTGTGTCCAAGATCCCCAGAAGACAATGGAGGAGAAGGGATTGCAGCATGGCCAGCCCCCATGGGGGGTCATTTTTCACTTTCTGTCTCTCGGTCTCTCTGGCAAGTATACACACCCAACAGCAAAAAATATTTAAAAAAAAAAAAAAAAAAGTTAATAATACACCTTAGTGTTGTGGCCAGCAGGAGGCATGGAGGTTAAGGAGCTAGATCACATATGGTCTACTGGGTAGTTTAAGTCCAGACCTGGCAGCTTGAAACCACGCTGAGCACATGTGCAAGCATGCCAAAAATCCCAAAAGGAAAACAGAGAAGAGACTGTGTATGGTATGGCCATCCCCCTTGGGAGGTGATTTCTCACTTTCTCTCCGTCTCTCTCCAGGAAGCACACATGCCTTCTAGCAAAACTTAAAAAAAAAAAAAAAAAAAGAGGAGGGAGGGGAGTTTGCAAGTGGTGTAGGAGTTATAAGCAGTGGACTGACATATGGCCAACTGCAGTTTGAGTCCCAGACCTGGCAGCTTTCTCTCTCTTTAACCCTCTCTCCATCTTTCCTGTCAAATTAAAAAACAGTAACAAGGGGGAACCAGCAGTTAGTGTAATGGCTATGTCGCTGGACTCCCATGTAGTAGACCAAGGTTCGAGTCCCGGACCCAGTGGCTTAAACTCATGCCAGGCGCATGTGCATGTGTGTCCAAGATTCCGAGAGGAGAATGGAGAAGGGATTGTGGCGTGGCCAAGCCCCTGGGTGGTGATTTCTCTCTTGCTTTCTGTCTCTCTGGTTAGTGCATGTGCCCTATGGCAAAAACCTCTCCAAAAAAAAGAAAAAACATGATAACTTCTTGGGGACCAGCAAGTGGCGTGGTGGTTAAGGTGCTGGACATTCCCACATGGTTGACCAGGTTCGAGTCCTGGACCTGGTGGCTTGTTTTCTCACTTCCTCTCTCTTTCACTCTCACCCTCTGTCTCTCTCTAAAAAAAAAAAAAAAAAAAAAAAAAAAAAAATTTTTTAAAAAAAAAAAAAAAAAAAAAACAGTAACAAGGGAACCAGCAGATGGCATAATAGTTACATCCCTGGACTCCCACATAGTACACTGCAGCTCAAGTCTCAGACCTGGTGGCTTGAAACTCATGCCAGGAGAATGGAGGAGAAGAGATTATGGCGTGGTCATCCCCCCGTGGGAGTGATTTCTCACTTCCTATCTCTCAGTCTCTCTGGTGAGTGCACATGCCTTACAACAAAAATCTCTTTCAAGAGGAAAAAAAGATAATAAAGTTAAACATTTTTAAGCACAGAATGACATCTAGCACACAGGGATGATGTGTAAACAGCTATACCCATCACTATCAGGCTAAACTAGAGGGTGTGGAGGTCACAACTGCATCTTTTTGTTGTTGTTAAGAATTATTTATTTAAAAATTAAATAAATAATATTAAAAGACAAGTTTAACAAAAAAAAAAAAAGACTGAAAAGGAAGAAATAAAACTGTATTTATTTGCAAAAAAAAAAAAAAAAAGTAATTATTTATTTGTTAGGCCACAGATGGTGTGGTGGTTAAGGGGGCTGGACTTCCCCATGGCCAACTGCAATTCAAGTCCTGGAGCTGGTGACTGGCTTTCTCACTTTCGCTTTCCCTCTTTTCTTTCTCTCTTTCTCTTTTTCCCTCTCTGGTCAAGTTAAGATAAAGTTAAATAAAAATAATTATTTTTTAAAATAAAAAGGAATAATTTATTTAATTCCATTTGTTATTTATTATTTTGTTGGAGAGGTTTTTTGCTATAGGGCACATGCACTTGCCAGAAAAACAGAGAGATAGAGAGACAGAAAGTGAGAAATCACCCCCCCCCCAGGGGGAATAGCCACGCTGCAATCCCTTCTCCATTCTCCTCTTGGGATCTTGGGCATGCGTGTACAGGTGCCCAGTGTTGAGTTTAAGCCACCAGGTTCGGGACTTGAACAGCGGTCGACTACATCGGAGTCCAGCAACATAGCCATTATGCCAACTGCTGGTCCCTTTATTTTTAATTTGAACAGAGAGAGAAAGGGAAAGTGAGGAAGCAGGCCACCCAGTCCAGGACTTGAACTATGGTCGGCCACTGGTGGGAATCCAGTGTCTTTAACTCCCCGGCCACCTGCCGATCCCACAACTGCATCTTAACATTATTTCCCCAAGACCTACCGCATAGTAGGTACACAATAATTACTAATTCGTCTTTGTGATCTTAACACCCAGTATAGAATCTAGTATACAAACAAGCACTTAATAACATGCTGAATAAATAAAACTTATTTAAGGTAAGGACAAACCCTCAATCCTTTCTTTGTAGTCAAGAAGTCAGAATAACCAGCATCCGTAGCCAGTAGTCCCACAAACTGCATCGCGGGCCGCTGCTGTATGAAGAGTTCTACGGCTTGATCAGTTATGCAAGTGCTTCCCGAAATGTCCAGTGACACAATATTAGGTAGAATGTCCTTCTGCTGTAGCAGATGAAAAGCTAGGTCTGACCTCAGGTGCCTGTGATCAGAAATATCAAGGTGAATCAGACACCTAAGTTCTCTGATGACTGCAAGAAACTGTGGTCTGGTCATGGTGAGGCATTTCAGATAGTGCATTGTGAGAGATTTGAGTTGGTCCTTACAGTTAAGAAGTGCAGATATATTCGTGACCAGAGTATTGGAGATATCCAAACTTTCCAGTCTGGGTAACTGAGAAACACTAGCTAGGTCTTCATTATGAAAACACATACTGAAAACACTTAAAATGCGAAGGCCGGTGAGCTGACCAAAGAACAATGGTCGTGAGTCTGGAGGGATGCTCGCTGAGTCTAACAGGAGACACTGGAGGTTCTGCTGGATCCAGCCATTGCTGCAAAGTCCACTAATGATATCTGGGACTGGGAGGTCAGTGTGCACTGCAGTAGCATCCAGTTCAATGAGCTTATGATGGCAGAAGGCTTTTAGGAATGCAGCTGCAGAGATTTTAGCTTTTTGGATATTGACCAGCTTCAGTTTCATTTGGTTGCCTTGGAAAATGCTTGCCGTTTTATCAGTCAGCTTGCCTGTAAGAGAACCAGGACCAGTCTATAATGACAACGAAATCCCATGCCTTTCCCACGTGCATCATGACAAGGAACTAGGACAGAGGCTAACAACAACCACAATGACTACATTTCCTCCTTATTCTGTGCCAGGCGTTGTTCTAAATCCTTATGAAGATTATCATCTCATTTTCTCTTTGCACTAACACTATATCCGACTATTATTTTCTTTTTAGAATTGTTTTATTTTTTAATCTTTCTTTTTTTGAGAGAGACTTTTTGTAATAGGCTGCATGCACTCGCCAGAGAGAAAGAAAGAGAGAAATCACCCCCCAGGAGGATGGCCATGCCACAATCCTTTCTCCTCTTGAGTTCCTGGGCATTCATGCATATGCGTGACTTTTTAAGCTAGTGGGTCTGGGACTCAAACCACAGTTGATTACACGGGACTCCAACAACAAAATTACTATGCCAGCTGCCAGGTCTGCGACTTAAGCCATGGCTGGCCATGTGGGAGTCCAAAGCCCTACCACCACACCACCTGTTGGCCCCCAGACTATTATTACATATATATGCATTTTTTTTTGAGAGATTTTCATTGTAGGGCGCGTGCGCTCGCCAGACAGACAGAGAGAGACATAGAGACAGAAAGCGAGAAATCACCCCCCAGGGGGGATGGTCAT